TCCTTTCCTTTTTATTTCACACACTCTCTCTCTCACTTTCCTCCTCTCTATCTCTTCCTCTTCTCCTCGCCTCTCCTCGGGAGGCGGCCTGCTGGCGACGAGCGGGCGATCGGACGGGCGCGGCGGTGACCGAGTGTTTTTGGCACAGGCATGAAAGCCCACGATGGCTGGGACCAACCAAGTGTTTTATGATTTTTTGCTTTTAAATTATTTTTGAATGTATTCTAAAAGTACATGAAAATCGTGTAAACGTTCGACGGAGATTTAAAACTTTTAACCTGGACTTTAACCCAGAATTAAAAATCTCCACCTAGATTTCGAAACTTTACTTAAATTTTAAAACCCTCAACTGAACTTTTTTTAAAAAATAAAAACATTAACTCGAATTTCAAAACTTTCAACTCAAAATTCAAAACTTTCAATTCAACATAAAAAAAATTCAACTCAAATTTCAAAATCTTTTAACTATTTTTTAAAAACATTTAAGTAAATTATTTATGTATTATTTTTAAAAAATAAAATTAATACTAATTATTTTCATTAGCGCTAAGGACTATCATTAGAGTGAATCGTGCTTTAGGCGAAGCATCGGCGTTGGTAGGGGTGGGCAGAAAAAGACCGAACCGAAAGAACCGAGACCGAGAAATTCGATTATCAATTCGGTCCTAGATAGTGAAAGATCGATTTTTTGTCAATTCAATTAGTCTCCTTAGTTAACCAAAAGACTGATTTAACCAAAAAAAAAATTCCAAATGCAACCTACAAGCTACTAAGTTCAATAGGATTAAATTCTAATTTTCACATTCCTACTCCTTCTAGGCATGCGACCCAATAAAAGTCTTTACTCAGATGTGTTTGCGATATTTTTTTATTTTTGTGTTGAAAATTTCTATGATTTCTTTGCATTTATGAAACTGTTGCCAAATTTCGGTTAGGACCGAGGGCGAGACCGAAAAGATTGGTGCTGACATTTTTGCAGCACAATTCCGTTTTCACTTTTTTAATGACCGAACTGACCGAAAGACCGAACACAGAGACCAAAATTTTCAGTCTGAGCGAATACCCGCCCCTGGTTCTATTTCTATGGCAGAAATAATGTCACTATGTGCTAGCCCTACTCTAGTGTTTGTGACGATTGTGATTGCCATTGTGATCTCTTTTATGATTCTGAACTCAAGTCATCATTGAAATCGGTCGAGGCTGCACTTTGCGAGACGTTCATGGTAGATAAATACTCCTTCCATTCATTTTTTATGATCATATTTGGCTTGTATAACAATACCAAGATAAACATCGATCAATTAGAACTATTTACTTTTTATATCTTTGCATGTCTCATGGAGTGCTCAATTAGTTATGATTGTATTAAGTGCTTGACCAAAATTTCTGCTAATGAAGTTGCAAGGCATACATGCAACACAGCGTACGAAGCATTTCGGCCACAGCCCCATCTAATATGATGATTTTTTGTGTTTGTAAAATATAATGATAAAAAATAAACAGAGGGAGTAAATGTTTTGCCTGTTCGTCAAGGGAAAACGACCTTCACAGAAGGTCAAAGGAAACCTTCACATAAGGTCAGATTTGTTGTTGTGTATTACTCCCTTCATTTCAAATTGATCTACATATAGTTATTTTTAGGTTTTTCTTAAATGATCTATATATTTGTGTTCATTTCTTGAGTCTATTCGTTATTTGTGCATTGGAGTAAATGGACATTGATGCATCCATGCACACAAGTATTTATAACCCACATGCAATATCTTGATTTGCTATTGGCTAGAAAATATTAGGGATGGTGCATGCATCGAGTTTGTTGCTAGAGTAAATTATATAGTATAAGAGAGTTATTATCTTTTCTTGGTCTTGGTGTACCTATGAAATATGTAGATCAATTTGGAATGGAGGGGGTATAGCGCATTATTGAGATTGTTAGTACAACTTGCACTCTGCATGTGCGCCCAGCTATTGCGGGCCAAACGTGTTCCAGATCAAATAGTAGGAAGAAAAAACTAGGTTGCACCAGCACATGGAATATTCCGGCCACAGTTCATACCAATTTGGAATATAATAGGCAAATGAGAATAGGCAGGTGTTAATAATTGACCTATGTTAGGGGAATGGCTCCGGGTAGCGGAGTCAGAGCCTCCGTCATGTGATGCAGCACCTACCGGAGCCATCCATCCCAGGAGAATGACCGGAGGCATCTACTAATCTAGGCTCCGGAGCCATCCAAGGCCTCCGTAGCTAGCTATTTGTAGGCTCCGAAGGAAGCCAAGGGCTCCGGGGCTGTCCGTAGGCTCCGAAACTGTTCAAGGGCTCCGGAGCCGAATAAGGCCTCCGGAGCCATCTATTGCTCCGGAACCGTTCAAGGCTTCCGGGGCTGGTCAAAGGCCCCGGATGAAGCTAGGGCTTCAAGAGCCCTGGGCATAAGATAGAGGATCAGGCGTGTAGTGGGACGACATAAATCCGCACTACACGCCTGCCAACCGCCTCTGACACCGTTAACGAGGGCAAGACGGTGCACGCTATTACCCGGAGCGTGCCATTACCCGGGTAATAGCGGGCGCCCTCGGGAATTAACGTCGCTTCCTTAATGGACGCAGCCCTCCTGTCACCAGGGGAATTACCCGAGAGCCCACAAGCTGGCCCACCAGCCAATCACTTAGATTAGTTAGTAATGTGGGTAGCAACGTAATTTCCCCTTGTACACCGGCCTTATATAAATGTGTAAACGTTGCTCGCAGTGGGGCATTCAATTCAGAAATCATACACACACGCTCGTTGGATTTTGTCCCACAACCGTTTAGATCGAAATTTTGGATTCAAATTTCAGTCCTTTTCCATCACATCAACCTGTCATATACACACAACTTTTCAGTCACATCATCTTTAATTTTAACCAAAATCTAATTTTTGCCATCAACTAAACACAGCCTACATATAGCGCCCACGTTTCGCAGTTGTGGAGATGTATTAGCACTGTTTTAGTCGTTGGACACATTTAATACTTGGATTCGGTCAGAATCTATAAAAGTTTTGTGGGATACACGGTATCTGGGTACCCAAGGAGAGGCCTTTGGGCCGTACGGCATAGGGTGGGCCAAGAGTCCTAGGCCCATGCGGCACACTTGTAAATAAAAAAAGAGATATTTCCGGGATAAGATATAAATCTCGGGGATCATGCATATATTTATAGATAGAATAAATGATATGTTATATTTGCATGATATTTAAAATACTCTAGATAATAGTTGTTAGTGAGTGATGATGTCACATACTTGCATGTGATTTAAAATACTCTAGATAGTACTCCCTCCGTTTTAGGTAATAAGACATTATGACTTTGATTAAAGTTAAACTGTTTCAAGTTTGACTAAGTTTATAGACAAATATAGAAATATTTATCGTACTAAATTAGTTCCATCAAATTAATAATTAAATATATTTTTATAATAAATTTGTCTTGGGTTGAAAATATTACTATTTTTTTCTATAAACTTGGTTAAACTTAAAGCAGTTTGACTTTAACCGTAGTCAAGACGTCTTATAACCTAAAACGGAGGGAGTAATTGATAGTGAGTGATGATGTGACACACTTATATGTTGAGTTTTAAAAGTTAGTGGAGATGTAGGATGTCGCAAAATTGTCAACGATGTAACTTGGTTTGACGATGGAAAGGTATATTCCATATTGTTACATTATCATTCAACTGACTCATGTGTATTTTGAACCCGACTACTGACACAAAGCAAGATTTTTATAAGTAGAGAAACTTATTTTGATCAGATAATCCGTACTCTGTTTGAACTAATCTGGGCTTTGGGTTGTTTAGGCTCAGAGCAACTTGTTGGATTTTTTTATACTACGCATTACATAAAAGACCGTAAAAAAGAAAATTACACTCAGATTTGACAAAAACCTTCTTCTCCACTACTGCATGGTCAGCATCAACCGCAACCATGGCAAAATGTTTTACTTTTTAGACTTTTTTCAACAGCATCTAATCTGCCATGCATGCACCCTACAAACATAAGGCCCGCACGTCAGCGGCGAACCCGCTCCGGCCCAACTAGCTAGAATGGGCTAACACCGTTGGACGCAGTCCACAGCGGCCCACATGAGTCAGCCGCAGCCGTCCGGCCCACCTTAAGTCCGACGAGCTTGCGCGCCGCCACCTCCTAGTTCCGCCACCTGCCGCCGCCGCCACCGCGCGCTCACGTCGACGCCCACCGCGACCTCGGCGCCATCGGAGGCCATCGCCGTCCCAGAGGTCCTGAGGGCCACCGCCGTCCGCCGCAGTACGGTCCGCGCGGGCGGTCAAGCGTTCTTCAGGTACTTGTGTCCTTGTGGGAATATGCTAGTCCCTTCCAGATATTCTCTCGCTCAGCACGATTTTGCTTACTGCTTCCATCGTAATATATGAGTTTGCTGTTATGATCCAAACTGACGCTGCATCTGCTTTGCCAGTTTGTGCAGATTTGTTTCTGAGAATCCACCATTATGCTATGCAAGGACGCTGCGCATGTTACTCCAGATGCCAGATTACAGGAGAAATCCCCACATTCCAGTAGCTGGAATCATGGTAATGAGTTGCCAAGCTTTGCTTGCTTGCTGATTTAATTTTTTTAAGTTATGTCTTCGATGCATCCCTCCAGTAGCAAATACGGTTGCAACTTGCAACTCCAGAGGGTAACCCACACAGCTCCATATGCTTATTTCATTAATAGTTAATACACTTGGGTTTAACTCTGTAAAGTACTACTTAACTAAAAGTACATTAGTACTTAAAACATGCTTCTAGGATTCTAGCACCCATATTTCTCCATTCTTGTATTCATTTATACTTGTGTGTCCTACATTTGTTCTACAATCTACATGTTTGCCAGTTCGGGATGTAGGATCGTCTTAATTGTTATTTCTCTAATCTGTTAGAAGTGTGAAATAGTGCCTTATGTGCTTGCTATATCTCCAGACTTATCCGAAACACCATGCAAACAAAGTGCAAAAAGCGCAACCGCTGGTAGTAGGCTTTTCTTGGCATACTCCTCCAGATTACTTAAGCTTTTAAAAATTAAATTCATGTTACATAGTTACTGAGAGATACTATATGCTTGCTATGTTTGGGTTCTAAATGTTCCTCTTAACACACATTACAGAACAATGCTGGAAATTTGGAAATATACATAGGATTTGGAAAATCTATTGCAACACTGTGGACAGACATACATGTCCTTTATCCATTGCTGTTTTCTTAATTATTATTTTTAACGGTTCTCGGCTTAATTACCTCGCTGTTGGCATGGAGTTGATTGACAATTCGGCATTGGCACCACCTTGGCTAATGTCACTGGTACTGTAGCTTAAACGGGCTTCTTCCAATGCTAGGGCATCCTTTAGCTGTGCTACCACCATACTCATCGTTGGCCTTTCACTAGATGCCTCTTTTGTGCACAACAGCGCTATGTCCACAACCTTCCAAATTGAGCTGATATCAAACTCACCATGAAGTCGCGGATCAGCAATTGCCTCAATATTTCCCATATTAACCTTCTCTTTTATGCGCTGCACAATATGTCCATTTGTGGGTATGATGGGAGGCTCCCCTGTTACAATCTCTAGCAGAACTACTCCAAAGCTGAAGACATCACTGCTAATAGTAAGTCTGCCACTAAGACAGTACCTGCATAAGAATAGTTGAAAAAACATACACAGTTAGTGTATCAATTGCATCTGGTGTGAACATAGAATTACAATCGAAATGTTGAATGCATAGAAGAACTAACTCTGGGTCAATGTAGCCTAGGGTGCCAGCAGCAGTGGCTGTAATGTGACTCTGTGCAACATTCAGATATGACTTTGACAATCCAAAATCTGATATTTTTGCAGTTAGGTCACACCCTAGAAGAATGTTGTGTGACTTAACATCTCTGTGAACTATAGGCAACACACATCCTGTGTGCAGGTAGTCCAGACCTGTGCCAAAAGACATGATGAATAGAAATTCAAACATGCAACAGAAGAGTAGGGAAACTGATGAAAATGTTTTGGTAAACTCAAAATCATACCTTGGGCAGCTTCGTGTGCAATTTTTGCTCGATGTTGCCAACTTAATCTCTGGATAATAGCATTTTTTCCTAAATGACCATGAAAACATATTGCTTATATATCTGTGGGTATCAATCATCATGGTCTTCTGTAAAGAGGGGATGCTTGTGCAAGATTAAAGTTTTTCAATGGCAGCATGCAAATTGTGTGACATTCATGTGAGACATGATGGTTATAATTCAGAAAAAAAATGTTTGAGCCAGGCTCAGCAAGAAAAAAAAAATCAAAATGCTCCTGGCTGGCTGTCCAACTCTTCTTAACATTGACAAATCAGAGAGTATTTTCTTTATGTGTGCAGATATAGCATGAGACTTAAATGTTCATAAATCTTGGAATGTAGAATTACCTCTCAAATGATCATAAAGGCTTCCATTAGGCATATACTCGTAAACAAGACCTAAATGATCCTGGTCAGTGCAGTAACCAACCAATAAAACCAGATACCTGTGGTGTACAGTTGTTAAACTCTCGACCTACAAAAGGAAATCGAAATACACTTCAAAGTGTTATGTTTCTGCAAACAAACTCATCAGAGCATTGTACAAGAACAATATCATTGTGTAATGAATCCTGCAGAAGATAAAACCTGTTGATATGAGGTATTCTTAGGGTCAAGGTCATCTGATATCCTAAATTTCAAACCTGTCTTAAATTCTATTAGATGAAAGTTAGTACCTCAGCTAAAAACTCTGGCATTCCCTTCCCTGACATTGATGTCGGAGAGCGCATCTTAACAGCCAACTGAGTGCCATCTTTTAACTGACCATGAAAAACAGGCCCAAATCCGCCTTCACCTATGAATACTGAGAAATTGTTTGTAATTTTCACTAACTCCTCATATGTGAACTCACGGTTTTCAGGAATATGTATATGATCTCCATATTGTTCTTGACCTCTAGACTTCACAATGGCTGCACCCACAATAAGCACACTCAGAGTAGCATAGGAAGACAAGTAATCCATATATGCAAAAAAAGTTGAAAATAATGTTTTCTGTCTACTCCCTTCTGTTTGATTTACTTCCGATATATTCCCTCCGTCACAAATTATATATAAGACATATTTTTTTTACACTGTCTTCAGTGACATACTTTGGCCATTAATTTATTCCATGTTATGATCCCAACGAATATGAAATTAGCATCACATGAAAGTACTTTAAAATATGAATATAGTGAGATAACATGCATAATACTTAGCATAGATATGGTTAGTATGATTATTAGTCAAAAGTTACCGGGTTTGATTTTTCTTAAAAAGAGGGTGCCCTATAATTATTTGGGACGGATGGAGTAATATTCTAGTTCGTGATATAATTTTGCAATATGAATCTTTGTTTACCCAAACCATCTTTGAATACAACAAACCTTATCATGCCATATCACTAGAAAATTGAAGTCAAAAGATTGAACTCATTAAAATATGAGATGTTATGAAATGTTGGAAGTTTGTGAACCTGAATACAATTGTTTCATAAAAGAAAACATCTTTCCATGGAAAGATAGGTTTTCATTATGCCCACAAATAAGTGTACATTATTTTGGAACTCCTGTATCGACTAGAATTAAGCTGCAGAATGCCTGGGATATACTATCTTGACACAAAAAAAGGATCATCCTGTTAGTCACTACCATGTTGGGGTAGGCTAGAGATGGAACTCATGTTCAACTACACAATCTAAAAGAGAAATAGGTGTCAAAAACGAAAGGTAGGAAAACTTTTTAAAAATATCTGTGTTGAACTGGTGATAGTATTATACGGTTATTGATATAGATGTATTTTATGTTACGAATTTACAAAAAGAGATGTCTACCTTGCTTTTTCCAGAAAAGTAGCATCAGCATAGCAGATATAAGTATAACTACTATCACCACTGGAACCACTACAGCAACTGCTAAGACTGCTTTATGTTTCTTCTTTGATGATCTTGGACTGCATGGATCTCCATTTGCCGTGTCATACCTAAAACCATGAAAACTTAGCTGTGCAGCTTGATCCAATGCACAATAAAAAATTACAGGAAACAGAGTTAGAGGCACTGAGTTCACTTTTAAGATCTCAAAACTCTCATATTAATGGGCCCAAATGAAAGAACTGCATCATGATTTATATGCATTATGCTGTATTGTACTCTACCTTTCTCCTGAGACTATGCAATGTAATTTGCTAATATCAGTTAGAGAACACATGAACTATGCGATATATGAGTAGTTTTTTCCATGAAACAGTCCAGTCATGATAAATGTATTGATTACTATTTATGATTTTCTCTTGCGGAAAAAGTACATTAGTTTGGCCTCCAATATTATTTTCGCACATTACATGTTGATTTCCAGGATTTTAATACTGTTATAGTGAACTAGAAAAAAAAATTCAGAGTGTTATACCTCAATGTGAGCGCTCGATTTTTGCATAATGCTTCAGGGAATGTACCATTTAGTTGGTTTCCTGATAGATCTCTGCATAAAAAAAATTAAGCAAAGAATTGTCTTATTGATTTGCATAACTTAACTGAGCGACTTTTCTCCTGAAATGATAGGGTCACACATACAGAACATGGATATTTGGTAAGTTTGTCAAGGATTCAGGTAGTGATCCAGTTAAATCATTGTTCGACAAATTCCTGAAAATAGAAACTGTGAAATTCAGTGTTCCACACATTGTTTGGTGGATGAGTTTATAGTTTGGTAGATAGATATACTCACAAGTATTCGAGTGACCTGAGCATGGAAAATTGTTCAGATATTGCACCCTGCAAATCACTACTGGACAAGTCTCTGCCAAATTTTAGAGTAGTTAATATTGAAGAGCAAACAATCTACTAATAAGAAGTGCATGAAAGACCTAAATCCCTTGAATCGGCACTTACAAGGATATAATTCTTGACGTAACTCCTTGACTTCTACATTTCAAGCCACTCCATGTGTACTTTTCTGGTAAGCATGGGTCACCCATCCAATTTTTCTTCACTTGATAATCAATTTTAACAGTCATCATGGCTTCAACTAAGAACCACATTCAAATCAAAAGAACGGAAATAATAAATTAGAACCATGGTTTATAGTGTGTATATGTGCATATGTGCTATGCAGTAACCTTTCCTGAGTGCTATATATATGGAATGCGTACTACTTTCTAAAGTTTCTGTTTCTTTTTCTTTGCTCTCTAAAGATGCTATACTGATCAAAAGCGATAGTGTAAAGGTGGATGGACTGATGACAAACTATTTAATAAGAAAAGCAAGGCAAGACTTCTTGCTTTGGCTTTAGTACACAAACAAAAAGGGGAAAATGAGGCCAATGGGCCATCAAAAAAAAAAAACATATTCTATAATTTGACACTGACAAACTCCAAATCTAATATAAGTCATATTTATCTAGGCTCAATAAACAGTGGTTATTTCTTTGGAATCTTTATTTTTTTGTTAAACTACTGAAAATTGGTAAGAGGAAAATTGTAGGTAAACAAGTTTATGTGGCTACACAAAGTTACCAACATTGCTAGTCCTAGAGCTATATTTAAGAGTTAGTTCAGTCTTTTGAACTATTCTCAAACATCAGGCAACGACAATGACAAAGAGGGAAGAAGCATATGTTATTCGGTGTTATGGAACATGGTCTTTGTGATGGCATAGAGTGGATTTTCTTTATTATTTTTCAACTTGTCAAGTAATAAAGAGAGGATGGATTTTTCAATTAGCTGCTACACAGATCAAACTGTTATGTATATTTACCCATGCATAACATATATTTGTATTATCTCATTGTTTTAGGTAATACGATAGTAAGTTCTGCATGTAATCTTTCATGTTGCAATAATCTGCATATGGCATTGTAAATCATTAGAACACATACCATCTTCCGAGTAGGTCATCTTCTCATCTTGTTGGACTTGGTAGTATATTTCAATGGCATTGAGCATGGGGGGCAGCACAGATGCATTGGTGGCAACGAGTGAGATGTTGTATAGATAATTGTCAGACGTGTATGGAGTGGTGCCATTGATATAATTAGCCAGGAGATAGGGCGGTTTTGTTTTCTTATTATCATAGTTCCACAGGTCGTTGTTGTAGTATATGTCGAACTCACGCAGCTGCCCCTGCTGGAAGTCAGTGAAGTGTAAGCCAATCAAGTATCCAGGTGTTGCGTCCCAGCCTGTTGGAGCAGCCCACAAGAAATTCAGGGCGGTAGAGGTCGATGATGTTGTGGCGGCTGTCTTCAGGACTGCAACTGGCACCTCATATACATCATCAGTGTAGCGGCTGATCAAGCTTCTTGTGGAAATCTTTATCAACCCAGATGTAATCTGTGGCAGCCACCATACACGGTCGTAGGGATCATCTGGATACCTGGTAGTAGAGATTATGAGATGTTTATGTAGAAACAGAATAAGTATGTATTAGGCTTGCATAAAAACATTTTAGTTGTGGAAGAAGGATCACCTAATTATTCTACTTGCGCCCATGCTTCGTCGATCCTGAAGCAAAAGGGGATGATTTGGTGTTGCTGCAGGGTAATTTGAACTCTTCATTGGCCTCATTTCCAACGATGATATGAAAGGAGTTCCTTCTCCATTATCAACCAAACAAACTGATACTGAATTTACAATGGCAACTACGATAGCTTCAGATGTGTAAGTCATGGTTGCATTGATTATGTTCAGCCGGTTCCAGAAGTTGAGCCCGATGCGGATGTCGAATGTCACTGGTGAGCTTACAAGATCCTGGCCTTTGTTATCGTAATTCCCATGCATGAACATTCCTCTTATAAGATACTTCTGACCTTTTATGGCAGGATAAAGAGTATAGCAATTCCTACCTCCTGTAGGAAAACTTCTGAGATTTAAACCTGATCTGAATTGTTCTGCCCCTTGGAGTTGTGAAGAAATGTTGTGGTTTTCTCCCGTGTCTATGTACTGATCATCTGAAATATATGTGATATTTGTCTTCTCATCCACATAGCTAAAGCCACTGGGAAGGCCACAATCGATGCTTATAAAGTCTTCATCTACAGATATATGGAAGTAAGTACCATTTGAGAAGAGTCTGTATACCAGAGAAATAGAAACTTCATGTTTAAAATAAATACAAAGCCTCGAGAATCTCAAAATGGAAAAACCCATGTATTTTTACTGCCAGAATCCATTTCCTTTGTTTAAATGACCCTAAATACTAATCCAAAACTGACATACGGAAATCATTTAGGCTACCTTTGTTTTCCCAAATTATTTCTCTGGTCAACTTTAATTTGCTTTCTTGTGACAAAATCAGTCACTACCAGAAACTCAATTATTTGAGCCAATTTCAGAAGAAACAATGATTCTGGTAGTCAGTTCCTCTCATAGTACAGCATGTATTTTGAGCAGAATTGACTAAGGATGTTTTGAGATTTTTTTAGTATTATTAATTTCTTTAATCCGGCACAAGATAACTGTAACTATAAGCTAGGAATTGCTACAGATCAACCTAACTTATTAGATTAGGACTTCCGGACATACTCCCTCGACTATGTCCAGATTCGTAGCTAGGAATTTATTTTTTTGAGATGAAGGGTGTATGTTATAGCTAGAGCCCCGAGATTTATCGGAGCACAAAAGTTGCAGCTACGGCAAAGCTAAACATCTGTACTGTAGACATGGTTTGGGAACTAGGAGTAGGTGAAATCCAAGAGGTCTTCAGATTCCACCTGTACTTGGAAGAAATCTTTGGCAGCGGTGTCCCTTTCTTTAATTTTTTTTCACTCCACTAAATTCTGAGGTAGGATAGCAAATCAGTGAATAGATATTTTGCTATGACCAATAGTTTGGTAAGGTTTATATTTGCTACTTTTACTTTTATTTCATTTGAAGAATCTTGGGTTTGTTTGCCAATATATACCTTACCAAAATATTGGTCATAGCAAGATTTGGCACCAGTAATTTTTTGGGGGCAAATAATGGTTATTTGGTTCTTGCCTGCCATTTTGAGTGGATTGCCTGCCAAAATTTTAGTAGCAAAGCAAATGAACATCTAGCTCCATTAGCATTGTCAGGTATTTGGCATGACAAGTGTTGGTAACAAACCAAATAAGTGCTTCATGCATGTTTGAAAAGGGTTAATTTCCTCGAGAACTAAGTTTGTTTGTGCTCTTGAAATTGTCAGAAGGATGTCAAGCATGCAATATCACACCTAAGCATGTTTTTATTGTTTCTTAATTTTACATGAGTAAGTATGTAGTACCTTCGTCCTAAAATATACAGTAACTTTTAGCTGTGAATCTAGACAAGTGGACATGTATTTATCTAGATTTGTAGCTAAAAATTGTTATATTCTGTGATAAAGTGAGTACGTCTTATGCCATGATGGACATATAAGAACAAAAGAAGCTAGAATATACTCTCTTCGTTCCAGAAAAAATAAACATAGAACGGAATGTGACATATCCTTTTAGTGCGGTTCAAAAAGAAAACAAACCTAATATAAGATAATAAGATATGTTGTAGTATCAGTTATGTTTTTTTATAGAACATAGGAGTATGAAATAGCTGAAAAGAATGATTTACCTAAGGAGGTCTGGGAGTGCACAAGCACAAGCAGTACACCAGTGACAATAATGAACAGGTAAGATGGCGGACTGCAGGGCATTCTGTCCAAGATCCTCGCTTATTTACACGGTGGGATGTATCGCTATATAAATCACGAAGAACTTGGAATACCTGATCGAGCAAGGGTTCTTCCTAGATCTCACATATAAAGAGAGCATATGCCCAGATGACACGCTCGTGACCTGGTGATGTTTTTACAGCAGATGACATGGGAGCGAGGCTAGTTGATGCCGTAGGTCAAGTCGTCGCGAAAGCGACACTTCAGCTTGTGGCTAACCTAGCACCCGGGGTCCATGGGACCATGGAAATTAAACGTTTCCACTTTATTTCTGAGGTTGATGTTGAAAGTGAAGTAACTTGACCAAATGCTGCACAAGGCCTATACCTACTCGAAACCCATAAACTGTGTAAGAATGTGTGTGGAAATCATGGGTACTCCATACCCACACGGCATGGTTATCCGACTAACTATAGTGGATAACTTATATATATGGAATATGTAACGGATCATGACTTAGGTATTACGTTTCCTTGTACATTATGAAATGGCTTAAAGTCCTGGTTAATAATATTGTAAAGTAGATTTAGGAAACCGATACCATATTGGTTAAGGTTTCTATCTTGTAATCATGTCCCCATCCTATATAAGGTGGGTAGGAGGCCCTCTAGGGGGCATGACACACAATCAGATCGTCAGATCTATAATACACCCGGCGGATTCAAATCCCCAAACAGAAGTAGAGTGCTACCTCTTATTGAGAGGGCCTAAATCTATGTAAATCTTTTGTCTCCGCATCCATCTACTTTTAGGTCTCGTGCGCTACCCCTCTATATTGCTGAAATATTGTTTCGACAGTTGGCGCGCCAGGTAGGGGTGCGTCGAGCTTTCCATCGAGAAGTACGATGGAATCAATTTCTAGAGATGTGCCGAGATCGATCTCAATGAGTTCGACGGTTTCAATCTTCTACTCGGGTTTGCCGTTCTAGTCAAACTTTTATGAGATTAATTTTTAATTACTATTTGATCTCCTGATTTTTCGTGGCTGTTCATATGCCAAGTGAGAGACGAAACAATCATATCGGCAACCTCACTGTGTCCTGCTAATGTAACTCTGTTCACGCTTTGTGCTGATTTACACGCCAGCATAGCTAGGTCAACCGGCAGTCTTCGCGCGAGAAACATTTCTGATTACCAGGAGCATATAGGAGCAGCCGATTACAAGGAGCTCCGAGCTATACATTGATATAATGATATATACATATGCTTATATACGCTTCTATGCTTGATAATAGATTAATGTACTAATCGCTTTCTTTGCATGTGTGTATATGCTGATCGAGATCAACCGGTTGTCCGTGGCTGGGCGTGACCGTTTTTACTTGTGCTGTCACACGAATATCACCTAGCGATTGTTTCGGCCGGAATCCATGTCAGCACGCATTAACTAATCATGGCGCTATCAACATAATCGCCCATGCCAACAGGGGCATATATTTTTCTATATATCTATAACTATTATGTTTGTTGGTACTAACCAGATTGGTTTGCTCCTTTCGTGCATATTTGCCTTCGTGGCAACATGACTTTGCCACTGTTCCTGGGCGACATCGCCTTATCACCGACCGGCTCGCCTTCGCCGCCACCGACTGGGGTCTTCGCCTACACGGTTGGTTGGTCATATCGTCGTTGTTGGACGTCTATGTCTTCACCGCCGGCTTGCCTTCGCTACCGCTGACTGGTGTCTCCGCCTGCACGGCTGGCCTACTTTGCTGCCATTGATGGGCGTCCACGTCTTCGTCACCGACCGGCCGTCTCGTCTACTACCGACGGCTGGCCTATTATGCCACCGTTGTTGGGCATCTACATCTTCACCACCGGCCTGCCTTCATCGCCGCCGACTGGTATATCTGCCTACACGGTTGGTTGGTCACACCACCATTGTTGGGTGTCTACATCTTCATCGCTGGCCTGCCTTCATCGCTGCCGACTAGTGTCTCCGTCTACACGGTTGGTTGGTCACACCACCGTTGTTGAGTGTCTTCGTCTTCACCACCAGCATGCCTTTGTCGCCACTGACTGCTGTTCTCGCCTACACGGTTGGCTGGTCACACCACCGTTGTTGCGCGTTTATGTCATCACCACTGGCCGTCGCCGACTGGCGTTTTCGCCTACACGGTTGGTTGGTCACACCACCGTTGTTGGGCGTCTATGTTTTCACCGTCGGCTGCGTCAGCTGCTTCCATGGTTGGTGTCTTCGTTGCCATTGATGGATGATTTTGAATCGGCCACCTTTGTCGTCACCAAAGGGAATACTAAAAGCTAAGTCATCATTTATTTTATTCCTTATATGATATTTTCCTTTAATTTTCCTCTGCCTCACTACTTCAATTGGTTCTCCATTGAGTAGTGAGTCGGGGGCTACATATGCTATATCATATTTTTTTCAATAATAATTTTTTATAATATCTATCTTGGTTGCTTGCGAAATAATCCGAGTAAAAATAAAGTGCCTATCGAGTTATGGAGTTCTATCTTCCTATGTTTTCCATTTGGTTTGTCGATGGATAGTCGTCTTTGAGCCGATTCCTAGCACCCGGGGGCTCATTGGATGAACCGAGTAATGCAAGGTGCTAAGTATTATTCGAAATAAATCAAAAGCATAGAGATAAGATAAATTTATTTTCTGCTCTTAACAATTGCAAAAGTACCCGAGTAATAAATTCTGATTCGTGAAACTTTGTTCCATTAATGACGAACTCATGTCACTCATATACATGTTTGAGAAGTGCCTAGGCCGACTCCCGGTGCTTGGGGGCTATGACTAGTCGGGTAGAGTGTTTAAACGTAAGGAGTCATCTGCTCGGGGAAATCAAAATTGACAAGAGGAGAAATACATATTTATAAACATTTTAAAATACTTAAATTTTCCTCGAGTATTATATTTACATCAGATACTACTCATCCTATATGTTTGTTCTGCAGGATCCAGATCCAGATATGCATAAAAGGGATTCATGGCTTTAAGCTTATCTCCTACGCTCCAGGAATGGATCAGTCAGAACATCACCACCGGCTTGCTGTCGTCGCCGCCGACTGGTATCCTCGCCTACACGGTCGGGTGGTCACACCGCTGTTGTTGGGCGTCGTTGTCTTCACCGACCGGCCACCTTGTTCGCCGACTGGTGTCTTCGCCTATATGGTTGGTTGGTCACACCACCGTTGTTGGGCGTCTACGTCTTCACCGCTGGCTTGCCTTCGCCGCCACCGACTGGTGTCGCCGCCTGCATGGCTGGCCTATTATGCCACCGTTGTTGGGCGTCTATGTCTTCACCATCGGCTTGCCTTCGTTGCCGCCGACTGGTGTCTTCGCCTGCATGGCTGGCCTATTCTGCTGCCATTGTTGGGCGTCTACGCCTTCACCAACCGACCGCCTCATACACCACCGACTGGTGTTTTCGCCTATATGGTTGGTTGGTCACACCACCGTTGTTGGGCATTTACGTCTTCACCGCCGGCTTGCCTTCGCCGCCGCCGACTGATGTCTCCGCCTGCACGCCTGGCCTATTATGCTGCCGTTGTTGGACGTCTACATCTTCACCAACCGGCCGCTTCGTATGACGCCAACTGGTGCTATCGTCTTCACGGCTGGCCACGTCACCGCCACCGCTAATAGGCGTCATCATATTCAACGCAAGCTGTCTACGTCTGCTGTCGACTGGTTTCTTCACTTCCATGACTGCATGATTCTGCCAGTGTTGATTGGCCTTATCGTCTTCACCACCAGTCGTCTCCTCTGCTGCTGACTAGTGCCCTTGCCTCTATGGCTGGTTTATACCACTACCACTACTGATGGACATCAATGTCTTTATTGTTGGCCGCCTTGTCTGACGCCGACTGGCTTGTTCACCTCCACGGCTGCGCGTCTTCGTCATCATTGACTAGCGTCATCGTCATCGCCGGCTTGCCTTCGCCGCCGGCCATGGTGTCTTCACTTTCATGGCTGGCATATTTTGCCACCGTTAGAGGACATCTTCGTTTTCGTTATCATTCTACTTCTTCCATCGCTGACTGGTTATGCCGCCGTCGACCGGTGTTTTTATCTTCACAACTACGCGTCTTCTCTACCGGTTTGCTTCTGTTGCTGCTGACTCGTGTTCACTTCATCACGGCTATGCAACTTTGTCACCATGGTGGAGTGACTTCATCTTTATTATCTTTGGCACCGGCAAACTCTATTGCCGCTACTTTGCAAGTTTTGCTACTTCACCAACCACGACGTCTACATGAGCCTCGACATCTCGGCATGCGTCATGAAATTTGACGTCGTGCTAATCTACTACTACAAGTGGTTCTCTAATTTTCAAGAATTCTACTCGGACATCTTCAACACGTATCTTCATTCAAGCAATGGCTACTCGACGACAAGCTACAGTCTTTGACTCTATGTTCAGTTGTTTCCCAACTAACCAAAGAGTCGGGGGCTACGCAAATACAAGACTCTCAAAATTCGACAAGCTTTATGTCAAGATGAAGCAATCAACTAATCAGCCAACGAGTTCTATGGAATCTACTTCGGGAGTCATAAGTTTTGTCTTTGCTCCAGAGCAAGCTTTCTACTTCATCAACTCCAATTATTTCACCGATTCAACGAGTTGGACAACATCATCTACTTTCCTCTAAGTGAAGCATATGCAACAGCTATAACACCAAGTTCTACTGTCATCTTCATAAATCAAGAGGCGTTCCATCAATTTACATTATGCAACACGCTAGCGTCAAGGAAACTACTCGAGCTTCGATATCTTCTCAACAGTTTGATGAATTATTGTCACTGACATCATCATCAGCACCTCTACTTCATCGGTCCTGACGTCTTCACCTTCAGTTGCTTCTATCATCACCGACTTTCATCGCCGACTTGTTATTTCGTCTTCACGGTTGGCCTGCTACGCAACTGCCAATGGGAAACTTCATCGTTATCATTGATTGCTACACTGCTATTGACTGGATCAACAATACCATCATCTTCATCAACATCCTACCATGCCTCTTCAACATAGCCTACTCTACTGCTATTGATGGGCAACTTCGTCATTATAGTCGATCATCTCTGTTGCTGCTAATCGTCATTACCGTCGGTTGCTTTTGCCATCGCCGACTAGTTTTCTTCGTCTTCATGATTGGTGGATTTCGTCATAGTTGTTGATGCGCGTCTACGTCTTCATCGTCAGCTTGCTTTCGTCGCCACCGACTGGTATCCTCGCCTTCACGGCTGGCTTATTATGCCACCGCTAATGGGCGTCTTCATCTTCTTCACCAACTGCCTCGTCTGTCAGCAATTGATTATTTTGCAGCCATGGCTGCATAACTCTATCACCGTTGCTGGGCACCTTCGTCTTTACTGCTAGCTGAATTGTCTGCTGTCGACTGGTTTCTTCGCCTCCATGACTATGCGACTTCATCATCTTTGATTGGTGTCATTGTCTTTACCACCACCAACATCTTCGTCAACTTTGATGGCTGATATCATCTTCATGTTGGTCATTTCGTCTCCATGCCGACTGCGTCAGCTACTATCAATGGACAATTGTGACTACAACAGAAGGATAAGCTACATGCTTAGGGGCTCATCAACACAAGAGCGAGGATTATATCTTCAATTTGGACTTGTTCCGGATACATGCAACATGAATTTATAGTCATGAGTTGATTTCCTATGCTCAAAGACTGGACTATTTATTATTCCCCACAAGGGCCGCGCCAGTCAGGATTCAATTATCACATCTACTTTGGTATTCTCAATGAGGGATAATTACTCAGATCATAAGCCATTCAGATGAGATATGCTTGATCTACATCACCCAGGATATTTATCACTCAGGATCATATTAATTGGTGTGTTCTATACGTCATATTTTAAGGGCATCGGTAGACATACTTTAGGTCTAGGCCTAAAATGTCTGCAGCCCATATTTTCAGGTGTGGCCTATCACGTTCTCTTAGGGACTTAGGCATTTTTTGCTTAGGCAAAAGTGCGCATGATTAAGTGCCCAATATCTTAAAATCCTTTTATACTGCAGTTGCTCAATTTTTTAGGAGTTGGTACAATGCATTTTAAAAGGTGCCAAGCAGTGAAGTTTTTCATAGCTGCCCCGCTGACTTTTTTATATAGTCAAGGCACTGTTTGGGTTTATAAAGCAATCGATTGGATACAATATCGTTGCTTTTTTGCCATATAAGTGTGCATCTTTTATTGACCAATATTATGGCTTGGGCTGATTATATATTTTGGTCATTTTTCTAGCGATTGGTAAATTCTTTATGAGTTTATTTACTCGGATTTTATACCACATATGCCATATATTTCCAAGTGTGGTGAAACCATGTGTCTTTTAGGGACTTAAGCACATTTGTTAAAGCAGTGTGCGCAAGGTGTATGTCCAATACTTTGGAAATTTCTTTATTCACAACATACAAGCTTTTTTATAGCTGTTTTGTTATGTGAATTTTAAATGATGTAGTCAACTTTAGGTTGCACGCATCATATTTTTATAAAGCAGTCGGTATATCACTTGGATCATGTTATTCTGGGATTCACACTGCATATGCTATATATTAATATCAAGTCACTTGTTTGACTATAATTATCAGAAACCACTCAGTTGGTTGGATTATTTACTAATTGACTATATGTTCAGTTTGTTCAACTAACGACATAGTCGGGAGCTACACCTATTAGGTGCATCTAGTCGATGCACCTAAGTATGTATTCAATTATTTTTCAGCCCTCCACAGTCTTCTGATTTGGTAAAAGTACTTGGGACGTCATGGCGAAGATGATTGAAGCACTCGGCTTTGGAGTAATATAGTTCGAGAGAAGATTATCTTTTCGACTGTGAAGGTCTCAGGGGCTAAAGTGGAGATTATGGGTACCCCATACCTACACGGCATGGTTATCCGACTAACTATAGGGGATAACTTATATCTATGGAATATGTAACAGATCATGACTTGGGTATTACGTTTTCTTGTATATTATGGAACAGCCTAAAGTCCTGGTTTGATAATATTGTAAAGTAGATTTAGGAAACCGATAATATATTGGTTAAGGTTTCTATCTTGTAATCATGTTCCCATCCTATATAAGGTGGCACTACTAGAAAACCAATTTTCCCAAGCGGCCAAAACTAATTTTCGCAGGTGGGAGGGAGGTCCGCCTGCAACACAACGATTGCGAAAATCGATGATTTTCACAGTCGGGGCAACGGCCAGCCTGTGAAAATGCAAAAAAGCGAACAAAAAAAAATTGCTGCACCGCTGCCGCCACGCGCCTCGCCGCTGCCCCCCTCCCCCGGCCGGATCTGAGAGGGGAGGGGAGGGGAGCCGCCGCCGCCGCCGCTACTCCACGCCGTCGTTGCCGCCGCCGGCTTCCCCCCTCCCTCCTCCGGCCAGATCTGCGAGGGAGGGAGGGAGGGGAGACGCCGTTGGCCGGCCCGCGCCATCGCTGCCGTCATCGTCGCCGCCGCCGCTCCACGCCGCCCCGCGCCGTCGTCGCCGCCGTCGCCCCCACCGGCCTCCCCACTCCCTGCTCCGGCCAGATCCGGGAGGGAGGGGGCGAGGGGAGACGCCGCCGTCGCCCCGCGCCGTCGTCGCCCCCGCCGGCCTCCCCCCTTCCCCCTCCGGCCAGATCTGGGAGGGAGGGGGCGAGGGGAGACGCTGTCGGCCGCCCTGCGCGCGTCGCCGCCGGCCCCGCCGCGCTGCCGGAGAGGAGAGGAGAGGAGAATCAGTGAGGGAGAGAAGAGGAGAGGAGACTGAGTCAGTGGAGGGAGAGGGAGAGAGAGAGATAGTTGAGTGGTGGAGGGGTGGGAGGAGAAGATAAGGGTGGCTTTCTTTTTTGGGTAGGTACGATTTTTGCAGGCGGACCACATAAGGTTCGCCTGCGAAAATCTATTTACGCAGGCGCTGCTTAAGTAGTTAGCCTGCGAACAGCGAACTTCACCCCGATTTATATTTTTGTAGGCGGTCATTTGGCTATAAGTGTCATGTCCGCCTGCGAAAAAAAGACCCCTACGTTGGGAAAAATGCTTTTTCTAGTAGTGTGGGCAGGAGTCCCCCTAGGGGTATGACACACAATCAGATCGTCAGATCTATAATACACCCGGCGGATTCAAATCCCCAAACAGGAGTAGGGTATTACCTCTCATTGAGAGGGCCTGAACCTGTCTAAATCTTTTGTTTTCGCATCCATCCATTTTCAGGTCTCGTGCGCTATCCCTTTATATTGCTGAAATATTGTTTCGACAATGTGGTAGAATAAATTTAAGAAAAACGAAAAAGTTTCGTTATTGAAAAGCAAACAGAAGTGAACAAGTTCAATAAACCATCGAACTTTCCTTGCTAGAAAATATATATTCTTGAATTTGTCATGTAACTAAACATAGTCGTGTACATCCTCACATTTTTATTTGTGAATAGTCACGGGTAAATCTACCTATAGGACACAGTTAGGCCTCCACTCAATTTTTTTTTTTGACCAGGTCTCCCCTCAATTTCATGGATGTTTTTCTTGATTCCTATGGGAATTTAACTAACTTATGTGAAAATTATGTGTTCCAAACATGGCCTTAACTAGCAAGCTGTAATGCTTATTATATTCTATTTTTTGGCATTTGCCATTTTAGAATTCATTGTCTCATGCTCCTTTAATATTTGGGATAATTTAAGTCAGTATATTGGCAGGTGTAGGGCGCCTGACTGTACATGACCCACGAAAGTTTTCTTTATTTTTTTAAGAAGGTATAGGTGACCCACGAAAGATTTTTTTTATTTTTTACCCGGCCTCTCCACATCCAACCGGATGATAGTTTTATTTAATTTTTCTAGAGAAGTGTATTTTCTACCTGGTATATATGTATACTTTTTAAATTAGGAACTTAGCCTATCAAATAGGAAACATAGCCCTCACATAACCCAATCTAAAATTCGCTCTTATAAAAATTTAAACTCAGGCCCTAGAGGGTACTAATCATATCACTACAATCACTATGCTACATGACCCACAAGAGTTAGGGACCAAACTTTAGGTTTTAATTAATCCAATCCAATGTGTTTCATTAATAATATTCTTATCCTATTTTTCCAAAGTTTCACTCCTCTTTCACAACTAAGGTATAGGAAGTCATGATTATGCACAATACTTTCTATTTTCTCTTTTGAATGAATCGGGTAGTAAGGGTTGCCCGGAGAGTGTGTTGATTTTTCTCGCTCAGTAATCCAAAATGGCAGGAGTATGGTTGTTACCTCTGGGGGGCTCCAACTTAACATAAAAAAGACTTGTTTTTGAGAGAATGTAGAGAAGAAAACAAACAAGATTATAGACTTAAACCGCCACCAATGAACACAATGTTCTCCGTATTTGGTTATGTTGGATATTGCCCATCGATAGTGATAGTGTCACGGTAGGTGGGGATTCTTGTAAGCTTTCTAGCTTCTGTCTTTCTTTTTTTTCCTTTGAATTAGCTACTCCCTAATATATGGTGTCGTTGATTTTTTATATATATTTGACAATTCATCTTATTTAAAGAAAATTAAGTAAATGCCTTTTTTTTATTTATCACTAAATAAAATTTAAGCATTATTTATATTTTTAAGATTTACACAAAATTTTTGAATAAAACAAATGATCAAATACTGTAATAAAAGTTAACGGTGTTATATATTAAAAAACGGCGATGGGATGTTCCATGGTGGGCAAGAGGGTGGGCTCGACCTCCCGCCATGGTACTGTTACTGTAGACAATATGGGGACCACTATGTCTGTGACGCTGAGAAAGCGCAAACACAACAACAATTCAGTTATTAGGCCTTAGCGGGGATGATCGGTGATGTTAGTAGGGGCAGAACCCGGAAGGGGGGAACAGGGCCTCTGCCCTCTGGCCTCCCTCAATCTTTTTAAAATCGCGCAATATCTACTGCAGCTTATATAAAATTTTAAATGATTGGTCCCGTGTCTAACAAATTAATTTTAGTGTTTCTGGTTTCGCCGCTTCAGTCGGTAGCGAAAGCTTTGAAGGCGCATAAACAAGAAAGTCAATGTGCCTGCCTATAAAGTAATGGCGTTACACGTCGCTAGACATGATGACATTGACATCAATGGCGTAATCCTTGCCTCGGTGCATACATCGACACAATACATGTGGTTACCCTCCTCCTAGCTAGACTCACTGACCAAGGACTTCGTTTCGATGGATTTCTAAATCACATGAATTAGGAGTTGCATATGAATGCGTGTGCAAAATAAGGGATAAGAGAAACTCGGGAATGGTTTTTTGGGATGGTTGATAGGAATAAAACATGAATGCTTAGTATTAAATTAACATGGCCAACGTGTAAAGAAAATTAACATGGCCAATATTGGAATATTTTAATTCATACAACTAATCCTAAAACACAGAACAATAAGTGATCCGCTTCCATTTATAGATACTTCCTCCGGGTAGATAATACTTATGTTTTAGATTAGGGTGGTGTCAAACTTTAGAATATTTGATTATGAATCATTTTTAAAATATTTGTCTTTCAAATATGGTGACTACGTGTATAGATTAGTCTTAAAATAATATTTTAATAAAATCATATATTTGTTAACACTTTTATACATATTATAATAGAAAAATAGTCAAAGTTGTTTTTTTGAGACCGTGCTCTTGTCTAAAATAACAAGTATTATCAATTCGGAGGGAATATAAAAATAGGAAAAAGAGCTCTAAGTTAAGTCATCTCTGTCTGAACTAATTAAAGAATAAAAGAATAAGAACGATGTGTGTTTCAAAAAAATTAAAAATAATAAGAACGATGTGATGTCGATGTGGAGAAAGCACGTAAGATTGAGTGGATCCGTATGGGATCTATATAGTGTAGCATGTGACTACTCCGTACGATAGAGAGCAACAAATAGGGGCAGCTAATTTATAGTCGTGATTTGAAGTGTCATGTTATATGTACCGATTCCACAGCACCACACAAAATCACTATAGCCATAGAATGATTTTAGGGTTTAGAGTTATACTCCCTCCATTTCATACTGTAAGTCATTTTGACTTTTTTCTAGTCAAAAATTTAGTTTTATTAAATCTAATTTATAGAGAAATTTAGCAACATCTGCAAACACCAAATTAGTTTTATTAAATCTATCATTTAATATATTTTTATAATATGTTTCTTTTGTGTTCGAAATATTGCTATATTTTTCTATAAACACAATCAAATTTTAAAAGTTATGACTAGGAAAAAAGTGAAAACGACTTAATAATATGAAATGGGGAGAGTAGTAATTATCGTGCCATACACAGCTACAATGTTATACTTTAGGCTTCGTTTGGCTAATGGGTTATGCCCATTGGGAAATGAAAATGGTATCCTGATAGAATGAGATGGTAGATTATATGAAGGGAAATTATATCCCATGTTTGGTTTGATGGATGGGAAATGGAAGTTTCTAGACTAATACCCAAATTACCCCTCCTTGCAATAAGCGATAGATGAATCAATGGATTAAATGGGTCAAAATGGTGAGGGCAATCTGCCATCTGGTAATTTCACCTAGCACTCTATCCACCCCTCAATCTAGCAGGATTGCATATCCCATTCCCAAACAACCCAAACAATGGAAATATAAAATTTGGAAATATAGGTTTACTTAAAAGCTATGGGAATGGTGGAGAGGTAGCCATGCCACGTCATTTATTTTTCTAGAAAACACCTTCTTTTGCTGTTAATCACGGTTAGGTTTGAGTTAATATCATCCACTCGATCGCGGGGATAAGATCGATCCGGCCGTTCATGTGGCTGCTCTTCGTGAGCCATACGATCGGCGAAAGCATATTGGACACTCCAGATCGTTTTTGAGCAGATGACGAGACAAAACCCTAGCCGCACTAAGCCCAGCCCAGTCTCGCGCGCAGCCTCGCCCTCCTCGGCTACTCCTTCCTCCCCAAGCCCTCCCCCTCCTCCTCCGCCCCATTCCTCCTCCTCTCCCTGTCCACCCCGGCCTCCACATCCGCTCCACCCGCCGCCTCCCACTCGCGCCGCTCGCCACATCCGACTCCTTCGAATCCTCTTCATCCTCTGCCGCCGCGCTCGACTTCGCTGAGCCCGGCGCCGCCGAGGAGTCCGACATGCCGGAGGAGTCTTACCAGGAGGAGGGGTACGCACCGGAGGCTGAGGAGGAGGCAGCGGATGATGATGATGAGGAGGAAGCCGTCGAGGCCTCCGCGGAAGTTGCGGAGGAGGCTGAGGACGTAGAGGAGGTCGGCACCTCCTATGAAAAGTTTGTAAATATAATCAATTTACCACAACTATGAAAAGTTTGATCTTAACAAACCTTTTGTATTTACAATCAGTTGTACCATAGCATATATTTATTGTTGTTTCCCACAAATGGTGGGTTTATTCTATTAGTCTCAACTTCAGTTCCTTTCCATGCCTATATTGGTAGTATTTCCTTGCAGTGCAATTTATCCTTATATTCAGTTTGGGCTAAATAATAGTTATATATATACTCCTATGGGATGTTAGCATCTGGTACATGAGCCTTCGATCTATACGCATAGCATGCTTGCCATTAATTTGACCATACTGAATTATCATGACATTTACATCTCAGGATCTAGAACGTGTTTTAACATGAAAAGATTATGCTCTTACAGAGTTGCCATGGCATAATACTGAATTGTCAGGTTGTTGTATTTCTTGAGAATGGACTCATGTGTGGCTGCTATTTGTGAAAATTGGAGAAACATTTCAAAGTTAACCTAACTAGCTAGAAAGGAAAGTACATGAAGGAGATTGTCCAGTGGCTTGCATCACCATTGCAATTAACTCAATTTTGAAAGAACCCTGCTAATATTAAAATACAACAAAAATTATAGGGGTATGGTGGCCATTTCTCATTATATGGACTGGTCTCTATTACCACTCAAGGCACTGGCATACTACTGGCAAACTGGCAATGCGTTTTCAGCTGCAGCTTGGCATAGATCGGCTAATCAACTCAAGATGCTAGGTTGGTGTTTTATTCTTCGATAAGACGACTTGTTTAGTGCATGATAGCGACTTTGTGTTCTTCTTTTACTGATCATTGTGATAATCACTGCGATTTATTGTACGGACCCATATGAGTATAGTTATCGGTGTTTTTACGCATTAATTTTATATCTCTAGAGACTTGTTTTAAAAATTCCTTTGATTAATCGCAAGACTTTTTACCGAATAAAATTTTGCGTTAGTATTATGGTGCTGGTAAATCGATCGTTTTGTCCAGATGTTGCCAATTCATTTCTGTTGGCGTGCTATTATGGACAGAGAACTTCCTCTTTGCTTTGTTTCAATTCTTGTCGTGTCTCAAGATGCTATTGAACGATATATTTTTTGTTGGGTTACATTTATAGTGTTCATGTGTTTTCCCTTACTTAAATTAACGATTGCTTTTGTTTTGCTCTACAGATGATCCAGTAGATAGCGAGTCGCTAAATGTTTTGACATTAAAAGAGTTTTTTTTTCTTTTACAAAGGATAGACGGCTCATAAATTGATTGTTACTTTTGCTAATTTTGCCTCGTAGTGTATAATCACTCGGCAGTTTATGTGAGTATAATGTGTAATCGAACCATTGTATTCGTCCTCAGCCAACTTGAGATAACAATACCTACCATTGAGGCATGCAAGTATCTCCTTTTGTTTCACAATCTACTAACCTATCCTGATTGTCAACTACATTTTCGCCATCATTGCCTACAGGCGGCACGCCATTGGCGCGCCCTAAGCTTATAGATGGCCAAAAGGCCCGAGGCCCGATGGCCCGGCCCACGGCACGGCGTTTTGGCCCGGCCCAAGCACGGCACGGCCCGTCAGGGGTCGGGCCCGTGCCGGCCTGGCCCGACTACCGGGCCGTGCCTGGGCCTCTCCATTGGCACGTTGGGCCCGGCCCGGCCGTGCCGGGCCGGCACGGCACGATGGGCCTCAGGCTAGGCCCGACACATAAACAACAGGGAGTAAAAATAGACATATTATATGCCATGGTCGAAAGAATAGGGACGTAAAATAGACTTATTTTAGCTATATATATGTCAACCCAAAGAGGGACAGAAAATAGACTTATTTTCACTATATATATGCCACAGCCCAAAGAAGAGGGACGGAAAATAGACTTATTTTCGCTATATATATTTCACGGCCCAAAGAGGAGGGATGGAATATAGACTTATAAAAAGGCACGATGGACCACCCGCGCCTTCGGGCCGGCCCGGCACGGCCCGACGGCTGGTGGGCCGTGTCTGGGCGGGAGGCGTAGCCCATGGGCCGGCACGGCCCGGCACGAAGTGCCAATCAGGCCGTGCCGGCCCGATGTCTGGTGGGCCGTGCCTGGCCGTGCCTGGGCCGGGCCGTGCCGGGCGAGCCAAAAGGCCATCTATACCTAGGCTCTAGTAGATAAATATGGTTGAAACCAGGCCAGGGAGATATAATTGTAAGAACTGACGGAATCACGTCTTTTTCATGCTGTATATACCCAGCACAAGCTAGCCATACCTTTGACAGGTACATTGATGATGTGCACTTACGTAGAGTGACGAAGAATGTGTGATCGAACAGCGCCCAATGTTTCAACTTTCGCGATACCAAATTAAAAAAAAATTGATGTGTCGTGATCTCCCTGGCCTAACTTTTTTTTCGAATTACACAGTACAGTGCAGACACTCACAACGCACGCGCACTCACTCCTATAAACACACGCAAACCCTACCCCAATGAGCATCTTCGAAGACTGAGCCGACAAATCCTTGAGATTAACGAAGTCATCACAGACGCATCATGAGCATCTTCGAAGACTGGGCCGGTAAATCCTTGAGATTCACGAAGTCATCACAGACGCCTCGCTGTCGACGGTTACGTCGTCTACCACTAAAAGCACAACACCGTTATATCCTGGAAAATTCGCTTCCATGAGGAGTCAAACCTAGGACATAAGGTGCTACTGAGTCTCTTATAACCAGGACCTAACCATTTTGAACGTACGTAGCATCAAGGGGTAAATCTATTGTCAATTGAGTCGAAATCAAGTAGCTAGGGTGGTATATAGTATTAATTATCCTAAGTTGACAACCATAGACATGACGACAAACACAAATAACATATCCATAAGTACTACGTATAGAATAAGATCGGTTGGTTGTTGTCGAGCCCGGCTATATATTTCCCGATCAGAACAAGGAAAGAAGAAATATATCTCGATCGAGTAGAATTAATGAGGTTCTTACTGAAGTTCTTGCTGCTTGTTCATCCTTTTCTACTGCTGCATGTGTACGTACATGCAGAGCCTGATAATCTAGGTACGTACGTGCATATATAGAGATCTAATATCTATATATCTTATGATACAGAGTTAAACCAGTATATATAATCTCACTGTATATTCACGTACGTACGTGGTTTAACTCTGAATCTATCTGCAGGGTTCGTGAGCATCGACTGCGGGCTAAGTGGGCCTTCCTACGTGGACGATCGCACGAACATTTCCTACATCTCCGACGACGCGTACATAGCAACCGGAGAGAAGCACGAGATTTCATCGGAATACAAAAGCCGAGCGCTATACACGTCAGGCCTTAGCCTGAGGAGCTTCCCTTCCGGCGGCCGCAACTGCTACGCCGTCGCCGCCGCCGCAAAAGGCCGCAAGTACCTCGTCAGGGCGTGGTTCATGCACGGCGACTACGACGGCGGCGGGAAGAGCCTCGCGGTGAGGCCGGTGAGGTTCAACCTGAACATCGGCCTCGACTTCTGGTACGAGGTGACCGTCTCCGACGCCGCGTCGACGTACGCGTTAGAGGCGATCGCCGTCGCCGTGGCCAGCTCGCTGTCGGTGTGCCTGCTGGACACCGGACATGGGACTCCGTTCATCTCGTCGCTGGAGCTGAGGCCGATCGGCATCGACATGTACCCCGGCGCTGTGGCGAACCGATCTCTTGGGCTGTTCGGGCGCTGGAACATGGGCGCAAACAACTTCCTCAGGTCTGCCTCTGTCCTGTATTTTTTTAGATACTAGCAAAAATGCCCGTGCGTTGCAACGGGTAAAAAAAATAATCCAATGACAATAGACATTTTTCAAGCGTACCCATATCAATGATAATGTTTCTATGGATCGTTGTAGCTAACACAATTAGAAAATTAGAGCATCTTTATGTAATAACCCAAACTCGATGATGGCAATCTTTTTACCAATGCTTGCTTTAACTAAAATAATTGGATTATTCATATAACAATATACATATAATAAAAAAATATTCTTTCAATATTATTCTTGCAACCAATAATAGGTTAATCAAATCCTACACTCAGGATCAAGTCTACACAAAATAGTCACCGTGCACTCTTCTCTAAATAACAATTAAAAATATGTTTATTTTTAATACTATTTTCATATAATATGTTATTAAAAAAAGTCTGATAATGATAATTGCATACAAAAAGTGCAGGGATTAGATGAGGAAACAAATGATGTGTAGGAAATGATGTGTAGGAGATGGAAAAATATCGATGGATCTTATCCGACCCAAGCGTCCATCAATTTTATCTCGCTCTGAGTCGGACGGTTTCTCGGAGCGGTTCTTTTTATAAACGGCGGTTTTTTTCTCGCATTGAGTTGGATGGTTTCCTCTATTTTTTTTTTCGAAATGATGGTTTTTTTCTCGCATTAAGTCGGACGGTTTTCTCGAACCTTATTTTGAAACATCGGTTTTTTTCGCGTGTTGAGTCCGTTTGTTTTTTTTGGATCTGTTATTTTATAAACAGTGTTTCATCGGTTAGTTTTTTCAGAGCGGCTTTTTTTTATAAACAGTTTTTTTTTCTTGTGTGGTTTTTTGAAACCATTTTTTTAGAAATGGTGTATTTCTTTCTGATAGTTTTTAATAGCATTTTTTTTGTTTTTTTCAGATGAAGGAAACCGTATTTTTCCCGCGCATTTTTTTGGAAATTATTTTTTTCTTGCGCATTTTTTTCCTTTTTAACGGATGATGGAAACTTCTCTTTCTAAAAAGTTAGATTGGATTGATAGATTAGATTAGAGTTAAAGAGATATATACGGATAACAAGGGGCGACTTTAAATTTGGTCGGGTCGTTTTTTCCTCCTTTTCTTTTTACGGAGTTTGAGTTAGATGTTTTTTTTCTTTTTTTTTATTACGGACGAGAAAACCTCTTTTTCACGAGTCGGACTTTTTTTTTCTCTACGGGAGTCGGTCCTTTTTTTCCTTTTTTTACGACAGAAGGTTTTTTAGAGATAGATATTTATTTTTAATTAGGTATTTATTCACGCGTGTTTCCCTTCGGATAGAAACTTTTTTTTTCGCACTATTCTTTCCTTTTGTAGGAAGATGGAAACTCTTTTGTCGCTCGGAATTTTTTTTATTTGGAATCGGACAGAAACTATTTTTGTGGGTAATTTTTTTATAATTAAAAACGGAAATTTCTTTACCGGTTTTTTTTATCGGACAAACTGGTTTTTTTCGCCCGGTTTTTTTTCACCCGGTTTTTTACCGGTTTTTTTTGGATCGGACAAACTGGTTTTTTTCGCCCGGTTTTTTTTCACCCGGTTTTTTTGACGGACGATGGAAGCACCTCTTATTTTTTAAGTAGTAGTAGATTATAAATTTATTCCGGTCTTTACTACGAAGAAGCTATCATTCAATTATTACAAAGTTTACCATCAAAACGATTATCGTTAAACATCCTCAAACCTTTTCCTTTGTAGTAAGGTCCCAAAGTCAAAGCCAATAAAGAGCATATGCCTTTGACTACGCTGTATGAAAATCAAACTCAAAGTCGCAAATATACTCAGCGAAATCTACATAGGATCGAATAAAACCAAACAAACCTAGAGGGAGAGTGAATGGTAAGAATAATAAAAACTAAAAACTTTTAGTGAAAATAAAAGTTACCCTCAAACTTGATAAAGTCGTCGGTATAGCCGGTCTTACCACCGCGTGCACACCGGTAATTAGACCGTAACCTCGCAGCCGGTCTAACCCGTATCATCCACTCCAGCCGGTCTGACCACCGCCTCCCCACCTGCTGTTCCTCGCCGCCATTGGTCTGACCGCTTGCCTGCTACCGGTTAGACCACCACTTTCTCGCCGGTTAGACGGTTAGACCACCCGTGGTATTTCGGTCGAACCATCAGGATCCAAAAAAAACATGTATATATCGATGAAAGTTTGCAAAGTACACTACTACAATACCCATTTTCCTGTGCGGTCAAACAATTTTCGCGTGCGGGAGGGCAGCCCGCATGCACCCGCCTCGTCATCGTCGGCGCCCGTCGATGCCACCTCCCATCGGCGCCGCCTCCCGTCCGCACCACTAGCCTCCCGCCGGCTAGTGGATCCGTGAGCAAAAGGCTGCTGCCCGTCGGATCCTACGCCTCCACCGCCGCGCCATCGTCGCTGTCGCCGTGCCGCACCTCCACCACCGCCGCCACCGGATCCGTGCGGGGACGGCCGTCGCCGCCCGATCCTACGCCGTTGTCGCTGTCGCTGCGTTGCGCCTCCGCCACCGCCAGATCTATGTGGGGATGGCCGCCGCCTGCCGGATCCCGCGCCTCCACCGCCACGCCGCCGCCGCCGCCGAGAGGCAGTGAGTGAGGATAGGAGAATCGGCTGAGAGGAGAGAGGAGAGAGAAGAGAGAGAGAAGACTTTGGGAGTAAGGAGAGGAGAATCAGCTGAGGAGAGAGAAGAGAGAAAAGTTGAATGGTCTAAGAGAACCGGCCGGATAAAAGAGAGGGGGGACCGAGGCACGCGTAAAAAGAGGAAATTTTGAAGTGGGTAGGAGGGAAAAGAGATAGTACTATTTTTTTTCGCGTGCGACTCTGTTAATAGGTCCGCACGGGAAAATCGGCTTATTTTCCCGTGCGGTCTATTTAAGAGGACAGCACGAAAAAATCGATTTTCTCATGCGGGAGACAGCCCGGCGCCGGTCCCCTATTTTTCCGTGCGGTTCCACTTACGAACCGCATGGAAACAAAAAGGGGCAGCGTCCAGGAAAATCAATCCAGTAGTAGTGGTAGATCAACTTTATTGCATCAATATGTGTTTAGAAAGTGCATCTAAAGCACTCCTCTCTCAACTCTCGAACTAGAATTGAAACCTTGAAGCAGACACTATGTTTTCTCTTCCAAAAAGTCGATATCTTTTACTCTCAACCTCTCATCTATTTATACCCACAACGTGGCTGCCCCTAAACATGAATCCAACAAGAACTATGACTCCTAATCACATAGGAAACCTATCAAACTAGGGAAACATACCCATACAACTCCAAACTCCACACTTCCTAAACTTGGACTCCAATCCAAATTTGACTTCTCTTCCATATGCACACAACATCATTTGTTTGCCATATGGAAACATTCACCTCCACGTGCATTATTCTCTAGCCTGAGCATCCCATGTTATATCCTAACCTCAACTTCTCCCAAGCCTAGTCCCGATCCATCACTGGCTATACTCCCATGGCCTCAAGCAACACCTACACATGAACAACAAAGAAACTCCATATTTGAATACAAATATTAGCAAGAAACATGATCTACAAAATTAGTTAGTGATTTCTCATCTTTTTCCAAAGTAAAATAGAAAATACATATTTGTGAGATTATTAAGTAGTTCACATTCAAAGGATTTAACAATAAAGACTAGTTCCAAACTTTCAATGATGTTATTAAAGAGCTAAAATTCAAGTTTTTCTAAAGAACTAGTTTATGCATTGATTGTTATTGACGGTGACTATTTGGCCTTCCTTTGCTGTTGATATTGGTTATTCGGTCTTATGGCTTATCCCAACCCCACACCCCCTAACCTTAAATCCTGGCTTCGCCTAGGCCAAAGAGCTTGGCGAAGCCCTTCTCGGCGTGAGGAGGAGGGAGTGAAGCTGCTGGCGAACCAACGCTGCTAGAGGTGGAGGCGGTGAGTTGGCATGGGGGGGAGGGGGAGAGGGGATCTGGCGCCTCTGAGGTCGGATCAGGCTGGCGCGGTTGCCATGGCATGATGGTGGTCCTGGATTGGCACGACCGGTTGTCTTGCGTGGCGCAGAGGGGGCCGATAGAGCCAGGGTGCGGCGGCGGCCCTGGACCCGGTGCCGCATGGCTCGACCGGTCTTGCGGCGAAGGAGGCCCGAATGTGCGGCACGGCGCAGAGGCGGCCGGTGGCGGCGTGGTGGCCCGGGACTGGCGTGGCGCAGCGCGGAGGCAGCCGGTCGCCTGGACGGCGGTGGTGGCGCCAGTGCCGATGCGACTGGCAGGCGCAGAGGCAGCGCGGCTGGAAGCAAAGGCTGTGGAAAAGGACCTGGCGGTGGAAGGTCGTCTTCCTTGTTACCAGTCAACATCCCCTCCCTTCCTAGGGCTCCTCCCCTTCTTCGTGGGGAGTTTCTAGATTGGGTTAAGGCGGCAGCTCGTCAACGGGGGAAGCGATGCCATCCAGTCCCGGGTTCTTCTTCTGCCAAATCTAGCAAGAAGGCCGGCAGGTGGAGGTGGTGGGATGGAGGGGGCCTAGGTTAGCTCTCAGGGATGGCGGTAGGATGCAGCAGCAAGTCTAGTAGTCGGCCGACGGAGGGGTGCCGATACGGTGTGGTGGAGGCCACATGCTGCCATTGCCTGTGCGGTGGTTTCTGAGCTGGTAGGCGGCGAACTACAAGCGAAGGTTATGGGGATTCCAGGCGTAAGCCTAGCTCAGTGGTTCATCGGGCCAGCAGCGGCTACGTCATTGGGCATCGTAACCCCTTGGGGCGTTGTTGAGGGTACCCTCTTCCTTTCCTTGGCGAGTTTCTCTGGGTGAAAACCACATCTTTCTTAGATAGGCGATGGCGGTGTCCTTGATGTCGTGACCCTCGTGGGGGCATCGCTTTCGGAGTCTCATCATTGTGGTATTATCGTAGGCCTGGCGGCGATCGACCACACTTAGCGAAGGTTGTTTTGGTGCTAGCTAGGTTCCACTCTCAATTGTTTGTGTTTGTGTGGTTAAGGTGTGGTGCTTGGACGTGCACTTTGGTGCATTGTCATGTTTTTGTTGTAACTTTTTTCTTCTTCAATACATTCGGATAGCCTACTTCGGCCTTCCCGGCGAAAAAAAATCCTGGCTTTCGCCACTGTATAAAGGAAGTGTGTGTGTCTATCTCAAGCCTATCTACTACTCTCGTCGAGAGTCCCGATAAAATGGTGGTTGCATGTGTGGAAGCTGGATTGCAAAGCTTCTCAGGCCATTCCCAACCCAGGATACTAGACAGTTTCTATATGCTCTACATCATCAAGAAACTAGAACTAGATACTACTCTTTCGATGCAAACACAACTAATCCATACTTAAATTTAATGCTACTTATCTCACACGATGTCTTGGATATTATGTAAAAACCATGTCTCATGCAAGATCTCACACGATCTTTTTTCTCATTTATTCATTTGCCATATCATTTTTTATCATATGTGGCAGCTTATTTAATGTTATGGACACCATTCTAGTTATTGGGTTGGGAATGGCCTCAGTAGGCTGAAGGCTTAGATCTCGGTGGGGCATAGTTGGATGTTGTTCCGTTGTTCTGTTAGGTTCCTTCCCCATCCCGCCTCCGGACTCTGGAGACAAGGTATTTATATACCCCTATGTCCCCTCGTTTTCTAGGATCAGACTCGTGGACTTATTCTTGGTAGATACTCCTATCAGTTAGAGTCCTGGTTGAGCGAGTGGGCGAACTCGATCTTTGTCAATCATCGTCCTCAATAATCTGACCTTATTTTTTTTGAGAACAATCTGACCTTATTGGAAGCGTAGTTTGAGGCTCAAACAGGATGCAAGTATCTAGTCCATCAGCTGTTTTTAGTGGATCAGGTAGTGTGGATGGAAGGGCATAAATTTCTTCCACGTATATTCTACAAATATGTTATTAGGGGATTTGTTTTTGAAATTACTTATTCCCTTCGTTTCATGTTATAAGACATTTTGACTTTGATGAAAGTCAAATTGTTTCAAATTTAACTAAGTTTTATAGACAAATATAGTAATATTTATAATAATAAATTAGTGTCATCAAATCAATAATTAAATATATTTTCATAATAAAGTTTTCTTGAGTTAAAAAAATTACTACTGTTTTCTATAAATTTGGTCAAACTTAAAGAAGTTCGGTCAAAACGTCTTATATCTATAGATGGCCAGAAGGCACGCCTGGCATGGCCCGATCGGCACTTCGTGCAGGCCGTGCCGGCCCACGGGCTGTGCCTCCCGCCCAGGCATGGCCCACCAGCCGTCGGGCCATGCCGGGCCGGCCCGAAGGCGCGGGTGGCCCATTGTGCCTTTTTTAAATAAGTCTATTTTCCGTCCCTCCTCTTTGGGCTGTGACATATATATATATATATATATATATATATATATATATATATATATATATATAGCGAAAATAAGTCTATTTTTCGTCCCTCCACTTTGGGTTGTGACATATATATATATATATATATATATATATATATATATATATATATATATATATATATATATATATAGTGAAAATAAGTCTATTTTCCATCCCTCCTCTTTGGGCTGACATATATATAGCCAAAATAAGTCTTACGTCCCTATTCTTTCGACCGTGGCATATAATATGTCTATTTTTACTCCCTAGTGTTTATGTGTCGGGCCTGTCCTGCGGCCCATCGTGCCGTGTTGGGCCAGCCCAACGTGCCGAGGGAGAGGCCCAGGCACGGCCCGGTGCTTGGCCCGGGCCAAAACGCCGTGCCATGGACCGGGCCGTCGGGCTTCGGGCTTTCTGGCCATCTATACTTATATCCTCAGACGGAGGGAGTAGTATTTTCTAAAAAAAACAAGTAAAGAAAAAAAAAGACAAAGAACACACAAGATTCTGGCAGTGTACTGACAAATTAAATATTTCTCAGGTACCCAAACGATGTGTTTGACCGCTTCTGGTGGACACCAGTGTACAGCACGGAGTGGCTCAACATCTCTACAAACGGCACTTTCATGGGTTACTACTCCGATGACCACATCCGGGTTCCGAGAGACGTCCTCCGGACCGCGATCACGACGTCTGCCACTTCTGTACATCTGAACATCACTGTTCATGCAGCTTCTGTCGGTCAGTTGCCGCCTCCAACCGAGCGGGCGTACTTCCACTTCCTGCACTTCGCCAGCTTCGAGCAGCAGCAGCGTCAGTTCGAAATATACTCCGGCAAGGTCAAGTGGAAAAAACAGAACAACATATCGGTCTACGAGTTGTACAGCATGCAGCCAAGTTACAGCTCAAGCGGTCTTTACATGTTGTCCAACGTCTCGCTCGTCGCCACCAACGACTCCGTGCTGCCACCATTGCTCAACGCCATCGAGATCTACTACAGTATCCCACATGATGATACCATCACCTCTCCAGACGATGGTACACATGTTACTACACCCTCATCTTTAAAATAAGAAACAGGGCGAACAATTTCGATTTCATTTTGAAATTTTTAACCGTGATCAGAAACCTACTCTTATTAACAAGCATATCATATATGTAGAAAGTAAGTCAAATAAACAAGTTATAAAAGTTACTGTAAAAGGGAAAAATTTTGGCCGTCAAAGGGATAAAAAAATGCCCCTCTAAAACCTAACTTTGTCCTTTCAATGTTCAAGCTTGTAACTTCTCTGTAATTGCAGATGGTCATGTATTCACAGATTCTATTTGGTTCTATATAATCACAAACATAAGCAACTAACTAATTTATGTCATGTATTCTTTCTGAGATAAAATTTGAGTTTGAAATATGATGACAGTTAGTTAGATCAGAAGTGTTTGAAAAACAAAAAAGTGTTTGAAAAACAAAAACTATTTATGAGGAGCAGGAAACAAATGTGTATGCATCACCGTCACCGAACACCGAACACCAATAAATTAATATCCCACAATGAATTAATATCCCATACTCATGTATTACCTCCGTCCCAAAATATAATTGGACGATATTTGGATAATGGAATATGCTCATATACAAAATGGAATGGAATATAAATGATTGATTTCATGTCTAGTTGATGCCATAATGGCCATTAAAACTCAATATCAAGTGAAGAAGAACTGGATGGGTGACCCATGTCTACCCAAGGAATCTATATGGACTGGATTGCAATGTAGGCAAGACGGGGTTGAATCCAAAATAATATCCTTGTAAGTTTAATATATATTGATAACTTCATTGTCTTGATTTTGAAATCTTTAATTGAATAGTTTGTTTTTTTCTAAAAGTACTAACATAGACTTTCACAGAGACCTGTCTTACAGTAATTTACATGGTGCAATATCTGCTGATTTTTCTTTGTTACAGTCACTCCGATACTTGTGAGTACAATAAATCATATTCTAACTTATTTGGTTACCCTAATTATATTGTTTACCTGGAAACACCAAGACTTATATTTCAGGAATTTGTCATACAACAATTTGAATGGATCAGTACCTCATTCTTTAACAAGCTTATCATCCCTTATTCTTCTGTAAGTATTTGTTTTTTGATCATCGACAGAACAACCTAGTATAAGTGCATATAATTTGGGATAATTGTTTTCTTCAGAGACTTATCAGGAAATCATTTTGATGGTACAATCCCTCAAGCATTATGCACAAAAGAGTCATTGAACTTGAGGTTTGTTGGATGATCTCCACTAACACAGTTCCTTCTGCTTCTAATAAACCATCATGATACCAAAAGTCATTTCTTTCATTACATGCATATGGTCCTTTTGGGAGCAATAACTTTGATCTTTATATGTGTTATTTCATAGGAAGTTCTAAAAGAATCTGCATAGTCCTTCCATCCAGTCTATATCACTAATTGCTACATTGTTTTCAGATATGACACCAACGATGGTGATCTATGCAATGGGAAATCACCAAAGAAGAAAAATATTTCTGTCCTAACAGTAGCTATAGTGACTCCCATAGCGGCAGTGTTATTGGTATCTGCCATACTGATCTTTTGTTTCTGCCACAAGAAAAGAAAGCAACAAATGACTCTAGGTATATATGTGGATACTTTTCTCGTCATGTTTGCATATCTGTTTTAGTCACTGCTCGTAACAGAAAGACATGAAATTTGTCAATATTTCTCCTGTCATGAAGGTTTGGTCCACCAATATAGTGTGCAGCCTACTGGAATATCAAATTCAGTAAGCCATGTTGACATAAAAGGTCACGTACTGATGTCCGATGACCATGAATTCACATATGAGGAGCTGGTGAAGATAACAAACAATTTCTCGGAGTGCATTGGTGAAGGAGGTTTTGGGCCTGTCTACCTTGGTCAGCTACAACGCAGTATTCAGGTTGCTGTCAAGATGTGTTCACGAAAATCGGTACATGGGCAAGGAATAAAAGAATTTTTAGCAGAGGTACTTAATTAATGTTCTTTCAACGAGTAACTATAACTTGAGCTTTCAGAGTGATCTCAGGTATTTTGTGGGCTATTACTAGTTTAACTATTATCATAAAGGCAGTTGAGAGTACGATGATTGGCACAATAAATTTAGCTTCACTTTAAACTATATATTTGAAATCTTACTATAGGAATCAGGCGTGATCAGCGTTGTCTTACATGATTGTCTCATGTTGTAGGTTGACAGCTTGAAAACAGTACACTACAAATATCTAGTAATGTTGATTGGATACTGCACAAACAAGAATCATTTAGCCCTCATTTACGAGTACATGCCGAATGGAAGTCTGTTTGATCATATAAGAGGTTTGCACTCCTTGCGTTTTAAAGCTGTGCATTTTTATATATAAACTTTAAAATGAAACTCTAATGATAAATGGACAGAGTTAACATGCAATTATATATTCATGGTATTACTATTCCTGTTTTACATGAGACTATAGATAGAGGTATTGTTTATATCATATATCACTGTAGTAACAAATCATAATTATTTTTAGGTAAAAAGGCTAATGTTCAAACAATGAGTTGGCTACAGCGCGCAAGAATTGTGCATGAAGCTGCACAAGGTTAGGTCGAAAGTGTTTCGTTGTATTTTATCTTTAACATGCCTTTGAAACATATATATTGTGCTATATTTCATCTCTTTTTGACAGTATAAGTCTCTATATAGGTCTGAACTACCTGCATTCAGGGTGTGTACTGCCTATAATACACAGAGATGTGAAGTCACACAACATTCTACTGGGTGAAGATATGCATGCCAAGATCTCTGATTTTGGCTTGTCCAAGTCTTACATTAATGAAGCACAAACTCATATATCAGTCACTGCTGCTGGCACCATAGGCTACATTGATCCAGAGTTTGTCACCAAGCACAACTACTTACCTTTTAGTACTGTTTGAACTAACTAACAAAAATAAAGCAAGAAATCTTCAGTCTGTAAGTTTTTTCATTGAAACTGATAAAACAAAACCTTTCAATTTCTTTATCATAAAGAGAAATGACCTGATGATTTCACAATTCTTCACATTCCTATGTGTTCAACACTAGTTGCACATGATGGAATATTAGTTTCCCATACCACTGGCTAAATACTCAAATCAACCATATTTTTCTTGTTTAGGTACTACTTCAGCAGCAGGCTCACCATGAGAAGTGACGTGTTCAGCTTTGGAGTGGTTTTGCTAGAGACTGTAACAGGTGAACCACCCATTGTGCCAGGCGTTGGGCATGTCGTGCAGCGTGTGAAACAGAAGGTTAGCGATGGCGACATCAGTGCGATTGTTGACCCACGTCTTGAAGATGCATATGACATAGGTTCGGTCTGGAAGGTCGTGGACATAGCACTGCTGTGCACAAGGGAGGTGTCTGATGATAGACCAACAATGACAGAAGTGGTGGAGCAGCTGAAACATGCCTTGGCATTGGAAGAAGCTCGCCATATCGATGGCCACAGAGATAATGGTCAAGGCAGCATTAAGCCAGATTTATCAGCCAACTGGGGACCATTGGCTAGATGATTAAAGACTGGCCAACTTATTTTGAAGTCATGTTCTCCAACTATTCTGTTGGGTTGCATCTATGATATACTGCTTGCTTTTCGTTGCATGTATCATACTACATATGCTGTGTTCTGTGTCTTATGATTGTGAAGGTTTCGGACAAATGAGAATTCATCTTAGTTGGGTTATGCGCAAGTGTAATAGAGGAACATTTCGAACTAAATGAATAAGCATGTTCCTTGAAAATTCTAAATAATGATTCGCAGTACTTAAATAGAAGTTATCTTATGCACATTGATAGGACCAATATGCAAGTAAGTGCAGATAACTAAATACCTGTTGCTTGTTTAGTTGGTTTGCTTGGTTGCTTGCTTCTGGATAAACATCGGGTCAAATCAGTGGCGGATCCAGAAATTCGATTCGTTGGTGTCAAAACGCATCTATCGGTGTCATAGTATGCTAATTATACTTAGATTATGGTGTTATAGCATATGAATAATCAGTTTCGCTATAGGTTTTGCTAAAAGTCGTCGGTGTCGCCTGACACCGGTCCTATAATTGTAGATCCGCCCCTGGGTCAAATAGATCCACAGTTCCGCACAATAGCATTCTGTCTGGAAAATTCTGCAGGTAATGGTAAAATTTATTATACAGTACTTCCATTGAAAGAATCCTATAATTAATATAGAAATCAAAATGTAGAAGAGATATATTTGAACAAGAACAGAGGAAAAGATCTAAATATGACATACAGGCAAAAGCAAAGCCTGAAATTGCTGACGCTGGATTTACTGGAATGGATACGATTACTCCTTCGTGAATTGCCAAATAAGTGTTAACTCCAGCATAAAGGGATTGAGTTTGTTGCTTCATTTCGTGTACTGGATAGGGGATTCCAAATTGATTGTTTGATGAGCATGAGTGTGGTCAAGTGTTTGTGAATTGTGATGCAGATAAGTAATTTTGTTCATGCTTCACACAGTAACTCGATAAGCATAGGTTGTGTACAATCCTGTCCAGTGTTGTGGAAATTATCTCTGGTACACGGGAATTACTCCTATTACATATATGTGCTGAGTTTGTCTACCCAAATGTTGGTACGTAAATTTCTCAAAATTCAGCCTTGTTGCCGATGCTTTAGATGCAGCTAAAAATTGATTACCAATCATTAACTGTTAACTGTTGTGTTTCTCGCCCTGCACAGATCAGCGCAGTAAACCTTCTGGGTAGCTCGATAAATCTGCAAGAACAACAAAACAATTTATTTTTCTTAGATAAAAGTGCCACCAACAGAAGACGAAAATACTGAGGAAAAATGCTAAGAATGAAATCAAGAAACTGCATATACGAAACGCACAGATCGACGAGGTAAAGGCCGTGAAAACTTACCACCGGGCAAGTGATGGCTGGAACGGAGCCACGGGAGACCTCCGGCGAGGAAAGAGGCAGTTGGGACGCCGCCGCCTCGCCGTCGCCGGCGGCCGGAGGAACTAGGGAAAGCGTCGGCCGTGGATGGATCTCAACGAGTGGTTGGGCCAGGCTGGGCTGACGCTAGATGGATGGTAATCGGTCAGTTGGGCTAGCTGGGCTGGGAGTGAGGCCCATTGCCCACTGAATATGCCCACTGGCACAAACATGCATGTAAGGGAACTTTTTAAAAAAGGAATAAGTTCACCAGAGGTCGCTCAACTTCATAGCGAGATTGATCCCTTAACCACAAAATCAGAAATGTATATCATAAACTCAATCAAACCGTTTAAAGGAGGTTTTTTAGAAGAACCGGTACTTATATGGAATATACTACCGGTGCCGGTTTTTTAAAAGAACCAGCACTTATACTCCCGCCTGACGCTCGCGTCCTTACCCTCGCGTCTCTCGCCCTCCCCTCTCTCTCTATCTCTATCTCTCGCGTCTCTCTGCCTCCCGCCCTCGTGTCTCTCTCCCTCCCCTCTCTCTATAGGCGGTTGCTGGTAGAGGCGGCAGCGGCGGCTGTGCCCTCCCATCCGCTAGATCCGGCAGGAGGGGAGGCGGCAGGCTCGTGTGGCCGGCGGCTGCTCGGCGAAGGCACCCATCTTACAGATCCAGCGAGAGGGGAGGCAGCGGGCTCCCACGGCCAGCGGGTGGCCGACAGAGGTAGCAGTAGCGGCCACACCCTTCCCTCTGTCCCCTCCCGCCAGATCAGGCGAGAGGGAAGGTGGCGGGTTTCCCACGACGGTGATTCTCATCCTCTCCGCCCCTCGCCTCGTCTCCCTCTCACCTGGCGCCCCACCACGGCTCTCTCCTCCCCACCGCAGTTGGGCTCAGCCTCCTCTCCGCCGCTGGCCACCGTGACGGTGGGGAGCTAGATCGAAGACGTGACGATGGGGAGGCCGGGGGATTTCAATGATTGTGATTTTTTTTATTGCGTTTGGATGATTTTGATTGCGTTTGGTTGGTGGCGATGATGTTGACAGGTGTTGATGATGATGGAGAGCTGGTTCAATGCATTAGCTCGATTCGAGCCGATGCATCGAACTATTTTTTCTGGATCGTGTAACCTCAAAGTTGCCGGTTTCTAAACCGGCACCTTTGAGAACACTGTAAAGGTGCCTAGTTTCCCAACCGGCACCAAGCTGCTCTTTTGTGAAGCTGGATGTGATATGATTAGCTTCGTATCCACATCAGCTCATGCCAGAAATAAATATTCTCAATCTAATCCCGCTTTAATGAAATCCATCCAGGGCTTAGTTAATCAGCTAGTAGCTAGTTTAAGTAGTTACAGACTAAAGAGAAACGTAATCAATCAGATTCAGAACGCTGTTACCTTAATTAGGCAGCATCGAGCGGACGTACTCAGTAGGTAGTTCCCTGTCATATATTCTGTGTTTCCAATTTGCCACTGCATTTGATCGCAGCCTTATCGTTAGCACCAATATATGCATTTGAAGCAAGAAAACAAAATCAACAGTTAACAAGACAAAGTAAAATTAAAAATGACAGAGCATTTTTTTTTGCATCAATTGTACAAAGAGAAGAGAATCAGCTTTACAGTCTCTATACTTCGCTATCGAATATGCACCTGCACGTATGGCTGCACCAAATTAAAGCTTGGCATTCGTTCCACTGAGAGGAATTCTCCAATGACCACTGCCTAATTTCTAGCTATAGCTCTCTCATCTGTTTATTGCATCGACTCAGAGATGTTTGATTGTTCAGTTTATATATATATTCGGAGAATACTAGGACACAGTCGTGCGCAAATGCGCGGACGATGTACACGGGGAATCGCTTGACGATGTAAGTGGGAAGAATCGGATGCGGAAGCCACGCTTCTTCTTGGCAGACGGACCGCTCGCGAAGGCGACGGGTAGTGAGCGGGCTGCAGAAGACGGACGAAACCGTGTTGTGCACAATCGGAAAATTACGTATTTTTTCAATAATAACTATTGTTAGCAAAAAAAAAACCACGTGTTGCAACCACTGATTGCATTTTCGGTAATTTCGGACCCCACGACTAGTCACTATCTCAACTGAAATTTTTTATTTTTCTCAAATTTTTGTGAATTTGATCAAAGTTTAGTCAGATCTTCTATCTATCTATTATTATATACTAAAAGTCTATTAAACTTCCTATAAACACTCTCAAACCGCCAAGTGGCATCCTATAAATGCTCTCAAGTTGCCAAGTGGCACTCTAATAAATAAAAAGAAATACAACCATATATTTTTACTTAAATTGGTGGACTTATTATTTTTATGATTAGATCTATTTTGTAAAAAAACATCCGAAACCAACATATACGGTACCAACGTACAAACGTACGTATGTACTGTACGTACTTCCCTTCTGTCTTTCCTTCGCTATTTTTCTATTTCATGAGAAACCAAAATCAAAACTATTCTTATAGGCAAAAAAAAAAATTACAAATAGACGGTCTAGCAGCTATCCCTCCGGCACTTTAAATATCCTACGAACACTTCTAAATCGCTACGTGGTGCTATTAAAATAGATAAAACAGTAGAAAATCTTAATAAATACAAAGCAACAGACATTCAATTTCTACTTAGAAAATCTTCAAAAAATATAAAGCAGCCGACATTCAATTTCTTCTTAAATTGATGGCTTTAGGTTGTTAGATTTTTTTAATAAAAAAAATCCCTAACATCTCTCCCTCCCTCCCTCCCGACCCAGCTGCAGTGTTAAAAACCATTACACATTTTATAAACACCTTTAAGCTACTATTTGACATACTTAAATTAAATAAAATCTTAGCAATTTCAAAAAAAAAGACTATTATATAATAAAAGTTCATTGAATATCCTACAAATACGACTAAGCCGCCAAGTGGCACCTTACAAGCACTCCTAGGTTGTCAAGTGGCACTCTAATCTGACCATCAATTTTTATTTAAATCGGCGATCCATTATTTTAGTTTAGAAGGTTAGATCTTTTTTTCTGAAAAAAAGCACACATCCGGAATCTCCCCATCACGTAGGTATCAACAAGCTATCTTCATGACAAATTAAAATCAAAATTATTTTGACATTAAGAAAACCACAAATAGACCTCCACCTATTAGGTCTAGCAGCTCTCGCTTTGTCACTCTAAACATACTACGAATGCTTCTAAGCTGCTACATGGTACTATTAAATTAAAGAAAATACAAGAAAATCTTAAAAACAAACAAAGCATTCGGTATCCATTTGTTTTTTTAATAAGAAAACAATCCAAACCTCCCTCCCTCCCTCCCACCTCCATGCAGTGTTAAAATCTATTAAACATCTTATAAATACTTTTAAGATGCTATATGACGTTCTTAAATTAAAGAAAAATCTTAGAAATTTTGGGGGAAAAAACTTCCAACCATCGTATTTGACATAAATCGATGGATACATTATTTTCAATGGATTGACACATTATTTTAGGTCATTAGATATATATTTTTAAAAAGAACACCCTAAATCTCCTTCCCTCCCTCCTTCTTTGCGGCATGCGGTGTTAAAAGTTCATTACACATCTTATATATGCTCTTAAGAAAACAAAACATCCAACCATCGGTTTCGACATAAACATCCGACACATTATTTTAGGTTGTTAGATTAATCATTTAGAAAAACATCCCAAACCTCCCTCCCTCCCTACCTGTGTACAACGTGCACCATTCTTTTCTCTCTGTTTTTATCTCCTTGACAATTAAAATTATTCATATGGGCAAAAAAACACAAATGGACCTCCATCTATTACTTATATCCTGTTAGGCATCTAACGACTTTGTGCCAACTTAACTAATTTCTCTTAACATGCATATGAGGGCTACATACCTATACAAATTAACCTTGATACTTTTAGATGATCTTTTTAGGAGATAAATAAATACTTTTAAGAAAGACAATCATAGTTTCCAAATAGTTTCCAAATTACACATATGATCTATGAAGTCACTAATCATAGCAGGTATTCATCTAGCAATATATTCAACAGGTTGAAAAGTGTGATTGGTTAAACATCATAGTGATAAGCATGTGGGTTGTACCTAGGAATCTTGACAGTAGAACAACATTACAGTGGCCTTAGCAATAAATCAAGTCAGTTCCATATAGGAATTAAAGACCATGTCCATTTTTTTTAATTTTTTTTGTTAAACTTGCTATAGTACATTGTAAAGTTTTGACGTAGAACAATCTAGAAACATGTATTCGTTATAAGACAATCCACTTTAGTGATGATTAGCTAAATATACTATGACCATTACTTCAATATTTTATGAGAGAAAATTTAGAACGTATGCCTTTACCCCATGCCAAGTTATATGCACTAATATTTCCATCGCAAATTGCAAATATCAAATCATTTCAAGGATGATTCATAGAATGAAAGTATCTAAAGGAAAAGAAAATAAAAATGGACATAAAATAAATTGAAAATTGAACAAATGTTGCTGAATTTAAAACCCATATTTAATAAAAAAATTCAAATATTTTACAAGGACTGTTAGAATGAATATATATATATATATATATATAATTTTAAAATACAATCAAACAAAAAAAAGATATTATTCGATTTCTTTTGGGGTTATATGATATCCTTCTGACGAGTTAAAATACCCTAAATTTTCTCATAGGAACCACCTCCAATGTTTTGACATAACATTTTCTCATCAATTCAAAACCGCATGATCTTAAATAATTTTATTTTAGAATTTGCAAGGATAATTATAAAAAGAATAACCAGTGTCAAAAGCACATAAAATAAGTTTAATTTTATTTTACGACATAATACAAGATATTTTAATAAAAATCCACCCGCATAAAAATATTCGTAATAAAATTTCACTCACATTATATAAGAAGGTGCCTACGCATGTGCGCGGGCTACCTTTCTAGTTCACTTAAATCGTGTTAAAATTGTAGTCCAAAAAATGCCAAAAATCCCGAAATGGCAAAATCGAAATTGAAAATCCTAGTTGCCATGGGCAAACTTAAAACATGAGAGTATCAATTTCCCTGAATTAAGAACATTAAGAAAATTATCACTACTACAGGACAGATTTTTCCTGCGGTCAAATTGATTTTTCCGTGTGGAGGTTTTCCCCGTCCGGAACCAGGGGTCTGGAAAAATCAATATTTTCATGTGCGGGTGGCCCAACCGCATGGAATAATCGATTATCCCGTGCGGTCAAATTATACCACCCGCACGGAACTAGAAAAACCAAAAATAAAAAGAAAATATGAAAATCGCCGCCGCCTGCCTGACCGCACGCCCCCGGCCGCCGCTGAGCCCGTGACCGTCGTCGCCGTCAAGCCCGCCATCCACCGCCACAGTCGCGTCGGTTGCTACCGCCATAGTCGCGTTGGCTGCCACTGCCACAGTCGTGTCGGCCGCCACCGCCGCCAGATCCGAGCGTGGAACGGCCGCCGTTGCTAGATCCAGGCGGGGAACGGCCGCCGCCACCGGATCGAGGCGGGGCCCGCCCGCTCGCCGCCCCCCTCTCGCCGCCGCTGCCTTGACGTCGCACGCGATGACAATGTCGTCATCGAGGGAGCCGAGCGATGACATACACAACGAGGATGATGACCAGGAAGAGGTTCCGCCCGCTCGCCGCCGCCGCCTTGACGACGTGCACGATGAACGGCCGACGACGCCTCCGCCTCCAACGTGCACGATGAACGGCCGACAACGCCTCCGCCTCGCTGCGCGCGCGGAAGGGTCCGTGGCCGACACCAGCTGTTGACGGAGGAGGGGATGGGGAGGAGGATCGGAGGGGAAGCCGGTAGGAGTTAATTAAGGTGGGGAGGAGGTGGGAAGCCGGGAGGAGATAAGGTAGAGAGAGGGGAGTGGTTGAGGAATAATAAAAGAGGAAAAAAAGGAAGAGAGAGGATGTAAAAAATTTGAAGTGGTTGGGAGGGTAAGGAGGGAAGAGTTTTCCTGTGCAGTCCACTTAAAAAGCCCGTACGCCAAAATCGATTTTTCCATGCGGTCATCTTAAGGCGACCGCACGGGATAATCCTTATTAGTACCGTCCCCCCTATTATCTCATGCGGGTTGCAAGGAAACAAAAGGGGCGGCATCCAGGATAATATCCTGTAGTAGTGTATGTTTCTGAAAAATAAAAATAGACGTTTACAGCTCATCACTATGGCAGAAAGCAATCCAAACCTAGTTAGGTTGATCTACCTTTCATGACAGATTAGTAACGCTGTCTAGGAAAGAATTTAAATAACTATAGCCACTTGAAATGGAATTAGGATATTTGGCAAGAATTGTTTTTCGATGGATTATAAAGTTTTACACTCGGAAATGTTCTATATAAAACTTTACCATAAGTTTAATGATATTCATAGATTTTCTATTGTGCATCAGATTCTAATCGAACAAGTTCTAAAAGAGAACGTATACGCGGGATATATTAGTATTATGTAGTGCTGCATGATTTGTAAGCGTCTACATCTTCCATGCAATCAGTTTTTAAAATCGAATATGGTTCCTTCCTGCCGTGGGAAACATGCATCACGCCGGTTCTATCGACCTTTCATCATATATATATACCTGTACATAAATTTTCAGAGTAAATAAAGAATTGAGTTGATGTCCTGCCTCCTGACCAGAGAAGCAAGTGGGCCAATTCGTGAACCCGCTTACACGTAAAATTAACGGGTAACCGGCGAATCGACTCGTGGGTTATATACTATTTGATGTATCAATGAGTTTATGAGTCGATCCAATTGCATCTCTAAACGCGGCAAGCCGAGTCACAACAAGAAAATTCGTTTGCTACCACTTATTTAAGTTATAAGTAGGTTTGCGGGTCAGCCCGCTTATGGGGAAAATATTGTAGGATCGAAACACAAGAACTAAGCCAACCAGAGGGGGTGAATGATTGGTATACCAAAAAACTCAATCTTTTTGTGGAATAAAAAGTTACCCTCAATTTCGATGTAGGTCGGTTTGACTGAGGTTGATCTGTCGGTCTGATCGCGCCTGTGCCGCTGGTCTGACCGGTGTAGATTGATCGGTCCGACCGCCCGGGAGTCGCCTCGGCTCCCTGTCGTCACTGTCGCTGGTCTGACCGCCGTGTGTCCGCCGGTCTGACCGCTGGTATGTCGCCGGTTAGACCGCTAAACATGATAAAACACAAATCGAAGAAATTCTCAAAGTAGATAACAACCTTATTGCTTCTCTCTGTGTTTACAAAGTGCAACAAACAACACTCCTTACAAAAATCTCGACTAAACTCGAAACCCTAACTAAACTATCAACACAATTGCTCTCAAAAGCGATATCGGGAAGCCTCACGCTCCCTCTATTTATACTTCTGGTAGGCAGCCTAAAGCCACGAACCAAACTCATACTAAAGTCCTAATCCCCATAGGAAACCTTCTCGTACAATAAACAAACTTTACATAACCAATCATACTAAATTTGGACTCCTTCTAAATTCGACTCCGCATCCCATACGCACACGATACCTCCATCGTATGCCATATGGAATCTTCACCAATCACATGCATTGAACTCTAGCCTAAGTATCCCGCATGATATCTGACCATCACGGACATCGCCTTACTACCAAGTCGACTCTCGATCCATCACCGGCAATACTATCCCGAGGCATCAAGTCACCTACACATGAAACAAAGAAACCATACGTTAAGACCAAGCTATCTCCAACTTGACTCATTAGTAGCAAACAATAGTATTACATACACATAGTATCCATCTAGACACCATAAATATGAGACAATCACGGATATCTAAATAAACAACCCAAAACCAAAACCGACACAGCGTCGGCCGGTCAGACCGTGGGCTGGCCGGTCTGACCGCTCGATCACCGTCATCCACGGTCTGACCACTCTATCACCGCCAGTCTGACCGGCATACACAGCCCGGTCTGACTGGACCAAATCACATACAGCAGTTCCTATTAACCTGCAAATTCCAATCATCTCCAAAACCACTTCGCAAATAAATTCCAAATATCAAAACCAATAATTTCTAATTCCAATTGTTCATCACAGAATAATAATAAAAAACACCTTTGATTTTACACACTTCAGATGAATTGTAGGATCGTAAAGGGCATTTCCCACCCCAAAAGCTAGCCATTGAGGTGAGGGACTCCTCATTTATATCTTATGTACTTTGCCCTTCCACAACCAATGTGGGACTATTCAACAATCTCCCACTTCACACATTAGTGTCCCTCAGCTCTTCACCGCCCCTTCACCGTATACGGGCCCCACAGGATAGGCCCACGGTCCATCAGGTATACGGGCCTCTGATACCAATTGTAGGATCGTAAAGGGCATTTCCCACCCCAAAAGCGAGCCATTGAGGTGAGGGGCTTCCCCACTTATATCTTAGGTCCTTTGTCCTTTCACAACCAATGTGGAACTATTTAACAAATATATAGTGTAAACCTGGAAAGTACCGTTGGATCGAGAAATGGACGTACGAGATTCGTCTACATCACCATGAGTTAAAATTTAACTCGCATATTCACTCATGATTAAAATTTTAGTGGAGTTAAATTTTAACTCATGGTGACGTGGATGAATCTCGGACGTCCATTTCTCGATCCAATGGTAGTTTCTAAGTTTTCACTATATATTTTCCCCCGCTTATGTACTACTCTTTACGCTTTATTATATATTTATAGTAGCCGTGATCTCGGAACTAGCCATTAGCTTTGGAGGACCTTGATTAGCTGTTGTAGACTTGTAGACGATCAGTCAAGCGATTGGTCGCTGACATATCAATGGAAGGCTTCAAGATCATCAACAGGGACATCATCACGGAGGCCACAGCCATGGCGTTCGCGGATCCCCACCTGCAGATCCCGGACAGCTACGTCCGCGCCGGCGAGGTCCCGGCCGGCGAAGTCGTTGGCGGCGCCGACGACGAGAGCCTCGAGCTGCCGGTGGTAGACATGGCGAGGCTGCTCGATCCTGAGCACAGGGAGGAGGAGATCGCTTGGCTTGGCTCTGCGTGTCGGAGCTGGGGTTTCTTCCAGGTTATTAGCTAAGCTAAGTAGCTAACCCAATCCACCAATTATGAGCGAAACACTAATTTTGTCTATTTTGGAAAATTCCCAACGTTTTCAAACTTATGGGCTGCACCAAATGAGTGTAAAGGTTTCTTCCCCCCTTGATTTAAGATTTTCTTGAATTAGGTGTGCGACTTAATTATAAAATAAATTGAAATAAATAAATATATATACATAATTAGTTCAATATGATGGTGCATATCTTTATGTATAATTTCGTTCAACAAGTTAAAACTAATGTGCAAATTAAAAGCTCATCGCCTTAAGTCATTTGAAATATTTAAAAAATCATAAATTATTTCCTGGAATTTTAAACAAATCTGAATGTACTTCTTGCATCAAATCTTGCAACTTTTCTACAGCTCGTAAACCATGGAGTTGATGAAGCAGTGATACAGAAAATGAAAGATAACACGGTACAGTTCTTCGAGCTACCCCTGGAGGACATGAACGCGGTGGCTGTCCGTCCTGGCGGCGTTGAAGGATTCGGCCATCACTTCAGATCATCAACCGATAAACTGGATTGGACAGAGAACTTGATCATTAGAACGCAGCCAGTCGTGGGAATAAATCTCGAATTTTGGCCTAGTAACCCACCCACATTGAGGTCCCTCTTCCGTCCTTGTTTAGTTATAAATTTCCAGCTTAAATAATTTAGTTTCACAAATTCATCAGTTCTTCTTTTACTATGGATTGTTCAGGAATTCAGTTAACAAATACGCAATGGAGATGTGTCTGGCAATGCGACTACTCGGCTTCATGGCCAGAGACCTGGGAGTTAATTGAGCAGGAAACACTGCTTGCTGCCTTCCGCGGGAAGCGGCAGACAGTGGCGGATCCAACTCGAGTCCCCCCTGCACCCATAAGACCCATGGATACCTTCCATAGCACCCTTTCAATTTTTTCATTATGAATGATAAACTAAAAGTCCCTAAATAACTAGAGGTTGACGAAACTGTGTAATTGAGCCCCCCAACCCCAACCCCAATTTTTTATTTCTAGATCCGCCCCTGGCGGCAGAGGATGGCCCTGCAGCGCTACCCTCCTTGCCGCCATCCGGAGAAGGTGATGGGCATTGCGCCGCACTCCGACGGCTTCGGGCTGACGCTGTTGCTGCAAGTCAATGACACGCCGGGCCTGCAGGTTAGCAAGGACGGCCGGTGGCGACCTGTGCGGCCGCTGCCGGGTGCCTTCGTCATTAACGTCGGCGAGATCCTCGAGGTTCTCACCAATGGCTACTACAAGAGCGTGTTCCACAGGGTGGTCGTTGACACCGACAAGGACCGGGTTACCGTCGTGGTGTTCCAGGACGCGTGCATCGCTGGAGTGGTGAAGCCACTACCGGAGCTCGGCGAGCAAAGATATCATGCGACCAATAGGTCGGAGTATTACAAGGGCCAGTTAAAAGCATTGCGTCGCCAAGGGGAAAAGTTCGTCGACACCCTTAAAAAGTGATTTATATCGCCAAACTTGTTTGCATGGTGGATAGTTTCTTATAATGTTATTGAGTAGTATTTGTGTACCTACATGAACAGACATTACTGGAGAAACCATCTTTGGTCGGTCGCCTAAAATCCACAATAGTCCCGGTTCGAATAGGACCCGGGACTAAAGATCATTTTTAGTGCCGGTTAAAAAAATTTTGAACCGGGACTAAAGATCATTTTTAGTCCCGGTTCAACAAAATATCGGGACAAGTTAGGGCCCCAATTATCTTTAGTCCCGGTTGGTATAAACAACCGGGACTAAACTTCACCCCGAGCCACGCGCCACTGTCTCGGTCGATAGGCGTCGTCATCGATCTTATCCCCTCCCCCTTCCTCTCCCCTCTCATGCATTAAATTAACACGGCCTCTCCTCTCTCCATCTCAGTCATCTCCCTTCTTCCTTCCCCTTCACCTCTCCTACCCCTCACCGCCTCCTCCTCTCCAGGCGGCTGAGTCCGGGTGGCGGCGGCTGGCGCAGCAGGCCGCGCGGAGGGCGGGCGGGCGGCGGCGGATGGGAGGGCAGCTGGAGTCGGCGGGCCGTGCGGAGGGCGGGCTGGCGGCGGCGGATGGGAGAGCGGCGGCGTGGCCGCGCTGGCGAGCGGTGGTGTGGCCGTGCGGGCGGGCGGCAGCGTGGCCGCGCTGGCGGGCGGTGGCGTGGCCGCGCTGGCGGGCGGCGGGCGGCGGCGAGGCCGCGTTGGCGGCCTCGATTTTTTTTTAAGAATTTGTGATGGATCTGAGAATTTTTAGATGTTGTGATTCATTGGATCTGAGAATTTTTAGAAGTTGTTAACTTGTGATCCATTGGATATGTAATGTATAATTTGTGATGTATTTCTTTTAGAATTTGAGATGTATTTTTTCTTGAGAATTTGTGATGTGAATCTTATGTTTGTGATGATACTTTGATTTTGATTTGGGGATATAGGGAGCAACTTGGTTTGGGAAGAGATTTGTGGGATATAGGGAGCAACTGATTTGGGAAGAGATTTGTGCAGTTCCAACTCGATTTGGGAAAAAATAATAAAAAAACAGTGGCCAACCGGGACTGGCGCTACCATCTTTAGTCCCGGTTGGTGATACCAACCGGGACTAAAGATGGATATTTAGTCCCGATTATTTCATTCGGGACTAAAGATACTCATATTTAGTCCCGGATCGCTACTAACCGGGAGGAAAAATGCTTTCTCCACCAGTGAGAGGGCATGCCGCCCATGGATTATGGGTAATTATGTCTTTTCGAAAGGACTGACGGCAGTGGCAAATTATAGGGGTTGTTCAGATTGTAGCCATGATAAACCTTACCAAATTTTGGCAGGATTTCTTACGTATTTACCAATGTTTGGCATGAAACCAAATTTATGTATATCTTTAGCAACTTTATAAAAAATAGTATGGTTTAAAATGATATCAATCTAAACAGCCCCATAGAAGAAACTTAAAACCTGATGGCACATAATAGAAGTAGACAAACTCAGTTGTAAATTATAGAACCATGGCAAACTCAATCGTATAAAATAGATTCTCTCCAATTAGTTTCTCATTAATCTTCTGACCACAGAACGAATCCGTTGATTCCTGCTAAGTACACTTTGAAGAAAAAAATAACCATCGAATGTGTATACATTCAACTACATCAACAATTGAAACTTCTACTGATGCTTATACTTATTCGCACTATTTATTAGTGAAAAATAATTTTTGACTAAAAACTTTTATATACGTGTCCTTATTGATTCAAAAGCAAATGCTATAAAATTAATTATGATGAAGAACCACAAAATCAACTTCAAAATTTAATTTTAAATTTTGGCTTATAATCATAAGTATAAGCGAAATAATGAGGTTGTTCCGTAGAAATTTTAGTGAGATTCATGTATTTATAATTGGACCTCCACTTTGTGGGTTAAAAAGACACGTTTGTGGATATATATATATATATATATATATATATATATATATATATATATATATATATATATATATATATATTAAATTTGTTTGGTGCTCCATGGTGCCCAGGCACCATTGTTGAAATTGAGTATATACCCAATTCAAATGAGTATGAAACTTTTTCAATTACTTAGGAATTAACATTAACTACTTTACTAACTAGTTCAAAGCAAGTTTGAACTGAATTTGAACTTGTTTTTGTTAGATTTTGATTCTAGGAATATAGCATCCATACATATAATTAGTTAGTCATGTAATCATGGATTGTGAAATAAAGTTAAATTTAAGTGGGTAGCGAAAACTCTATTGTAGTTCTACTAGCTCAGTCTCAATATAAGTGTAAACTACATCAGATGTAACATATTATAGGACTATATATGAATCTGGACAGTTGCATGTTCGAATTCGTAGGATACATCACATCTATAATACTCCCTCCGTCCCAGAATATAGAGAGTTTTCGAGTTGGATACGATTATTAAGAGAGTACGTAGAATTAAATAGGAAGGAGTTATGATTGGTTGAGAAGTGAATGTAGGTGAGAAAAGTGAATGGTGGGGGTTGTGATTGGTTGAGAAGAGAATGTTGATGGAGAAGTTTGTATAATTTGGGAAAAATCCTAAGTGCTAAAAGTTGTTATATTTTGGGACGAAGGGAGAAGCAGATTGTAGTTAGGCCCTGTTTAGATTCTAACTTTTTTCTTCAAACTTCCAACTTTTCTGTCACATCGAACTTTCCTACACACACAAACTTTCAACTTTTCCGTTACATCGTTTTAATTTCTTCAAACTTTTAATTTTGGCCAGGAACTAACTACAGCCTTATATTGGGATGGTGGGAGTATTTAGAAATAGATGGTGTAAACCCTTTTAGACTTAACTAGGTGTTGTGTTGTCAAATCAATGCATGTACACTGGTGGAGAAACCATCTTTCGTCGATCGGCCGAATTCCACGATAGTCCCGGTTGCAACAAAAATCGGGACTAAAGATGATCTTTAGTCCCGGTTAAAAAGGGTAATGGGCATATATGATCTTTAGTCCCGGTTGGTAACCAGTGGAAAGGAAAGCTTCTAGCCAGTGAAAAATATTAATATAGTAGTGCAAACTGCCATGTATGTTTTCCTTTTTCTTATAGGTGCTTTTCATAAACAGTCATGGCTCCTTTGGAAGGCAGGACTCTGAAAACATGCAAACATGAAAATGCATGAAGAGGATGTCATGTTCAACATAATCCTACAGAGTTCCAAAGCATACTAGAATTGGTGTGTTTGGATGGTTCACGAGAAATCAAAACATGGGAATTCTAAAGAAAATTGTTTGTGCTAGAGAGAAACTAGAGGGAGAAAGGAAGAGAGTGCATTGGGCTTCTCAAAGGTAAAAAAAATAAAGCATGAGGTATGAGCTTATGTTTATTTTCCTACAGGATAGGGGCATAGGAAATCAATCCATAGGAATTCTGAGATACCAGTTCCTTTGATCCAAATGGCCTTATAGGAAAAATTTTCTAAGGATTTCAATCCTCCACAAATCCTTCAAAAATCCAAAGGGCCCTCAACCTGTGTTAATTGTTGATCTAACAGTGACACTTCGGCAGAATGGCATTTTTAGTCTTCGTTACAAAACTAATGGCATTATAGTAATTTTAACAAAAGAAATGGCTGATTGAGAAATAGTGACATCTTCATCACCAAACTAACGGCATTATAGTAATTTTAAAAAATCAATAGCATATTGACAGATATGTCAATAGGTGAAACCCTTCTATAGCATTCATGCGTTTAACCCATATTTTAGAGCAATGTTGGTGTACATTTAGTGCGAGAGAGCGTAATTGAGTGAGCTTACAGTCTTTGGAGAATGTTGTCGTGCCGTCGTAGGTGATGAGGAAGTAGATCTCGAAAGCATTGAGCATAGGGGGCAACGCAGAGTTGGCAGTGGCAGCAAGAGTAATATTATACTCACCAGCAATGGCCATGAACAAGGGTGTGTACACGCTACTGGATAACAAGTAATGTGGGGTGTAATTGTACACTACCTGGTTGGCATCAGGGTAAGCATCAAACTCCCGGAGTTTGCTGCTCTGGAAGTCGGCAAAATGCAGGTACACCACATACTCTTTGGCCGTTGTGTCTTGCCAGCTTATGACGTTAAGCACCGTGCTGTTTCAGGATGGTGTGACAGCCGTTTGGAGAACACTAGAGGGCACCGCAAATGTGGATCCAGTATTAATGGTTGACGTGGTTGAAAGGTTGGCCCATGCGGGGTCAGCATTCATTGGCCACCAGTAGCGGTCATATGGATCATCAGGATACCTATATTTAAGAAATTAAAACAAATCATATATACGCAGCGTTTTATCCTTAGTGTTTAATTTAGAGATCGAACATCCTCCTCAATATATCTTGGTAATTATTTTGTTGTAGCAAATGCTCAAGATTCAGCCTCTAAAGACAACAAATTAAATGCTTTGTTTTCTCTGCATATATGTAGTTGAATTCGTATGTGTAGGTACTAAAATATTTTATCTTTATAGACTTTATTATTTTCTATAAGGAATTGAATTACCATGGACATACGTACACTGCACTCTTTCAATGTACATTGTTCTTTATCTCAGTCTTACGGAGTACTTTTTACCTGTGTATTTCTTCTACTAGATATATCTAAGTGCCAATTTCAGTTAAATTTGTATTTCCTGCACCACAGTCCACGGAAGCTACAGTACTAGGAAAATCATTTTCCAAGGTGGCCAAAAATAGTTTTCTCAGGAGGGGAAAGGGCCGCATATAAACAAAGGCCTACGAAAATATATGATTTTCGCAGACGGCATCTCCATCTTCATAGGCAGTAGTAGATCCACCAGCCTACGAAAATAATTTCGCAAAGAAAAAAAATTCGTCGCCACCACCCCTACCCGCCACCGTCGGCGGCGGTGGACGGATCTGGGAGGAAGGGAGGGAGAGGGTTGGAGCACCGTTGCCGCCTCCACTTCTCGTCGCCAAGCCGCTGCTAGCCCTCCTCATCGCCGCCGTTGCCAGTCTGGTGGAGGAAGGAGCCGAGCCGCCACATCCCCTCCCCTCCCCTCACCTCCTCGCGTCGCCGCTACCTCCCCTCCCTGAGACCAGCCGGTGGCGGA